ATTTTAAAAAGGATGTTGGTATAAAAAGTAGGAATGGCATATAAGAAGGAATAATATAAACAAATAAATGTAAATATAAAGCAAAGCTGCTACAATGGACATTGCCGCATGAAAATGAAGACTCCAGAGGGCAACACCTAGATCCCTGGGAACAAAAGGAACCTATTTGCCATAGCCTCCTTTTACCCCAAATCTAATGTTGGTGTGATTCCATAGACCAACAGGGTACATAGATATAGAGATTTTTCAAACGAAGATGATTCTGCTAAATCATCTAGACAAACATAAAATCTTCAGACAATTCAGCAGAATATTTTTTCCATGAACATAATGCTGATCTGAAGAGGAGTTAGTCATATAGATTAATAGTCATGATAAGCAAAACATGGAAAAGCCACATTTACTTTCATTTATTTGGGGGGAGAGGGGCTCTAAACCTCTGTGTCCTTAAGAATTACTTGTACTACAATAGTTCCAACCCCCATTGAGTATATGAATATTAAAAATATTAATAGGAAGTAAAACCAGCCTCCATTTGAAGCATGCAAATCCAGTAAGTCGGGCTTTGGCTTATCTCACGCTCCTATCAGAAGATTATGATTTGGGCTTTCTTTTTATCTGCAGACAGAATTGGCTACATTTGAAAAGCTATTGCAGCTGTGTTGGATACTGCTGAAAATTCCTAAGCATGACTCAGATGACAAATTATATTTGATGGAGAGTCTAGTGGGATGTGCAGAGTGGAGCTTCAACCCTGAGAATGATTAAGTTAACGAAAGACCCAACAAGCAACTCCTAAACTCCTATAAAATGTATGCCAGCCTCTGTGTCACCTTTGTGGTAAAATTTATAGACTAATTACCCTGTTCGTGGATGAGTCAGTATGTTAGGTAATGAGATGAATTCCAACTTTCTATGAATTTTCAAATATGATTACAATAATAATTATGATAGAAAAGCATTATCATTGAAACATAAGTATATAAAGACTTCATTCAGGAGGACATAATTGTAATACATCAAAAACTTTTACAATTCAAACATGTACATTAAGGCAATTTGCAGGAAATTTTACTGGCTCAAATTTTGTCAACCTTTAAAAATATATATGTATATTACATATATATATATTTATATATCTATATAAATATGCATAGAGCCACACAAATAAACACACACAAACACATGTAAATTCTCTTGCTTCTCCTAAGAATGGACTTCATTGGTCAGTATAAGTTAATGAGTATTGGCTCAATTTTTTTTAAATTTAAGCAGTCCTGGAAATTACTTAAAAATTAATGATAAGCCAAAGATCAGATGAATAGTGTTTTTTAAAATTGGCCATTAACTCTATAACTTCACCCTTTTTCTTCTTTCTATCCTTCACAATCCTCTATTAGAAAAGAATACAAGATTAAGTGTCAATTTGTATTCATACAATTCCTAAATTGTATAAAAATATTGTTACAGCAATCAGTGACTAATCTAAGTGAAGAACATGGTGAAAAAATTTTGGAAAGTGTGCTATTAAGTTTCAATCCTAATGAGTAATTTTAAGAGTCCTAAAACCTTTTTGAACTTTCTGTTTAATCTTGGGGTAATTTTTAGCTGAAAAATAACAGGAAAGAAATGCAAAGCTTCAGGCTTAACAACAAACTATTTAAAATATAAAATATATATGTATATATAGCAAAAGAGATATTTCATGTTTCCAAAATGATTACATTGTAGCATGCTTTATTTTACTAAATGTCAAGGAAATTTGAGTCTTGCCCAAAGTAAAATTTCTAAGCTCAAGGGAAGTGGTTATCAATATAGTTTTATAGCAACAGGGGGCAACTAGTTAACTCTACTTGGGAACTAAGAGGGAATTAAAGAAAAGTTTTGAAAAAGACCTTTTTCACTCAAACACTTGCCTATCACATCCCACTACCAATGTCATCACCTCAATCTTGGTTATCTATGGTTAGACATGCCTAAGTCCTTCAACTACTACATGACATCTAACAACTATATGTCTGGCTCTACTAACACACATATTGGTATTTGTTCAAATTCTTCTAAGGGGAACACAATTCTCCAAATGTGATTTTATCCATGTAAACTAAGTGAATTGATCCACTTCTCTAGAAATAGTGAAGAAAATATGCATTCTATTTTACAAATTTTTTGTAAGTTATCCTAATTTAGGTGACTATTCTGCTCTGGATTTAGTTTATTTTTAAGTGTATCTTATCATAAATGCATTTTAAAGGGGCTTACAGTTATTTAAAAGCATACAATAATAATGCATCTCCTTGGCTAAAGAAAGAAAACCACACATGAAGCAGTACGATGAGAGAGAGAGAGAGAGGGAGGAAGAGAGAGAGAGGGAAAGAGACAGACAGACAGAGAGAGGGAATTTTCTTCCATGTGTTTTCCGAGATGGAGGTGATTGATTTTCTATTGCTATTGTAGAGAGCACTGCTGACATTCACTGGCCTAGTGAGTTCATCACAGCTGTGCTTATGCATCTCCCCAAGCTCTGTTTTTTACTGAACTGGAAAAGATTTGAATTTTTGGCTGATAATTCACCACACCCTTGCTTTGCCTCATCTCTCCAGTCACTTTCTTTGTTAGGGGAGAGCCTTAAGATTAATCAAAGCTTTAGCTGGTGCAGGTGTTTAGAATTGTGTTAAAACTCGAAATGTAATCCAGAGAGCAAACTGGAATGTTTGTGTCAGCTGGTTAATGTCAGTGAAGCTAGGGATGTATAGAAAGAAATGTGTCTAGATTCACCACTGTGTCAACTCAGACACACACCCATCTCGACACCAAATTAGAAAACGCATTGATATGACAAAGGAGATGAGGTTCTGGGACAGGGGATGCAAAGGATCCTGATGCAGGACCTCTAGATATGCTTGAGGTATCGAAGAATGTTAAATCAGAAAATCTGGAGTCTGAGATTTCTTATCTGTGGATCTCCCATGGATGCCTTAAGAAATCAACAACACTGTTATGTGCAAAATATCGTCTAACTTTGCTTAAATGAAGATATCAGTCATGAATTTTTCTTAGAGTATAAATAAGTACAAAAGTTTTATTTGAATAGCTAAAAACAAAAATAGAATAGAAATTATACACACAATGCCTGAAATAAAGCATAAAAGCATTATTTTTAAAATATCTATTTTTCACAGTAGAAAATAATTCTAATAAAGAAATTCAATAAATTTCAACTTTATTAGCCATCTAAAACAATAAGGTAATGAATATACATATATGAATTTTTATGCAAGTGTCAAACACATCAGGAGAAAAATAAATCATGTTTCCAAAGTGGTTTGAACACAAGGAAATTTTTTAAGGATAAAATGAAGATGGTTGGAAGATAGGAAGATGTAACAGTCTTTTCCCTCAATATCTTCTGTATGATCCAGAAGAAAAGCTTATTTTTATGACCATTCAATAGTTAATTTTTCCCCCTCAAGTAGTGACTCTCCAATCTAAAATCAGCAGATGCAGAATGATTGGTCCAAGCAGTTCTCTTTTTCTGTCATCAGATGATGTCATCTACACTGGGACGTCTTTGTGCTTTTGTAACTGAGCCTGTAGGGAAGCCAGATTTCCACTGTCCATGCTTGTAGAATAGATGCTTACCTGGGACTATATATAAACATATGAATTGAGGAAAGATTAAGTAACAGGAATTGGGAGAAAGAGAAAGATGAAATAAGTTTAAAGGAAAAAAGCTTTGGGCTGGGTCTTAAAGAAGTGACTTCAGTATATTGGTGTGATGCAGGGAGCATGTTATGTGCACATATGTGCATGGATGTGGGCCTGGTTAAAGTTAACATGGAAAAAAATAAATGAAGGTGACCTTGACTGGAGTGGAAAAGCCTGTGCAGAATATGGAGACAAAAGAAGGAATAATGGACTGATGACTAGGGTGTCAAGAAATATCTTGTTTATTAGAAATATATTGATTACTAGAACTATTTTGATATTTTGGACAGCATAACTTTCTTGCAAAGAGTTATTAAAGAACTACAAATGGCATATGCCCCTTTTTCAAATATGTCCCAGAATTATTCCTTAGATCCAGAAATACACTGAAAATCTATGTTAATATGACTAGAACTTCATACATATGAAAGTCTAAATTTGGAAATATTTATCTTTATATGAATTCAGATGAAATGACAACTTCTCTTGATATTTCATTTGATAAGCTCTTTCTTTTCCTGTTTCTTAAAAAGAAATCAAGACATGTAAACGCTAACTTTTTCTCTAGAAAATTCTGTTCTGGCTTTCACAAGCAGCATAAAAATTTTATCTCTCACAAGAAATCACCCTTTGGCTACCTAAAGAAATGTGTGAGAAATAGAAACTGCAATAGATAAGTATTTGACTCTTAAAATGCCATTCAAACATAGCTCAGATACTTATCTTTTGACATTTGCCTGAAATTAAACTTCCAGTCCCCAGGGTAGGTGGGTGAGTAAAAGGAACAACAGGCTTTTCTTTCAGTTAATCTTTACATTTTCCTCTTTACATTGAGTTAGAGTGGAATCTGGCAAAATCCATGTATGTGTATATATATATATATATATATATATCCACACACATGCACATATAAAAAACTCCTAAGAAGATAAGGTTTGCAAATTAGCTATGTGAAAGCAAAGGGCACCAGGCATTTTCCCAAAATTATGCAGGTAATGTTACAAGGGAAAAATTTTTTAAAATGCATACATTTAATTATTTTATTAAAATGCAAGGCACAGCATTTTGATATATATTCTTAAGTTATATAAACATATATGTAACAAACTTATATGTAAACAGATGCACACAAGCTCCAGATGTGCTGTTTTTCTCTGTGGCTTGTGTCTTCTATAAGGGAAAAAGACATATTAATCATTTCTCTTTCTGCTAAGGGGATGGGTGCTGCTCTCATATTTCAGAAAGGGGCTGGAAAGTAAGGGAAGCCAAACTTTTTCCTATTTAAGGCCAAAGCAAAGGAATCTCAGTGGCTGACTTTTATGACGGGCCCGGTGCTGAAGGGCAGGGAACAACTGATGGTGCTACTTTGAACTGCTTTACTTTTCTCCTTTTTGCACAAAGAGTCTCATGTCTGATATTTAGACATGATGAGCTTTGTGCAAAAGGGGACCTGGTTACTTCTCACTCTGCTTCATTCCACTGTTATTTTGGCACAACAGCTCGTGGAAGGTGAGTAGATACTGACTGAAAAAAAAAAAGCAAACTTTATGGGCTTTTTTCTTTACTTCTGCTTGCAAAAAAGTTATCAAGGAGACATTAGTCTCCTAAATGATAATTTCCTCTGTAAGTTCCCAATTGTGAAGCATAGAACTGACTATGATAGTACTTTTTTATTACATTTGCTCAGAAAGTATATTGTCATTTTTGTATTTAAAAGTTCGCTGGTTGTTTAAGATAAATATGTTTTTGTACTAATTTTTTTTTCATGTTAATGGCACTGGAAACTCTTAAAATGGCCTTAAAAAGTTCCCCACTTGTATTGTTAATGTCTTGGAATGCTTCCCTAGGCAGTCTGGAAGTTATTGGTCTCCTGCAGTACGTTTATGCTTTCCTTTGTATGCTGGGCTCTTTGTAAGGACAAAATATTGAGCATTGTTTTTCCAATAAGATAATGCATTAAAAAAATAGCATGCATTAAGAATGGTCTAAAAGAAAATACTACACATCATTAGAATTACTGAAGAAATTTCTGTAAAATGGCAACAAGATAATAATACCTCAAACCTTTAAATAAGTTCAAACTGCTCAAAATCTTTCATGGTTCCTATCTCTATTCTGTTTCAAGCACTTACATGGTTGATTAATACCTATTTTCTAATGGTTTGTTGTTAAAAATCTAGTGTTTTATGTAAGTTCTACGTTTTTACCTACATTTGTATTAATAAAGAGAATACTTTACATCATATCTGCCACAGAAATGTTTAACTTCTGAAAACAAGGTAAAGACACTAATACTGTTTGACTTCAAACAGATTAATTTGTTGTATTTTCTAATAAGTACAATGATTTTTATGCTCCAATTTCCCCAAAACCACATTTGTCTCATTATTTGATTGTTGAAAATATTCCTCTTAATTCATATGTTTCCCTTAGTCATAAAAATACTAGGCATATTGGAATACAAACTTAAATACAAATAAATACTTAAATGTCATGTTTGAGGGTGCTAGAGGAAGGCATTACACATCAATTTCTATTTTCACATAATCAAAAATGCCTACATTTAAACCTATAGTTTTTGCAAACATGGTATCTGAAAATGGTTTTCTTTGTTTTTAGTATCAAATATTTTTGATGTCCTCACAGGTCATATATGTAGATAGAGGGAAACACCCAATGACATTTCTTCAGTGATATTCGGTCTATCTTCACAAAAGAAAAGAAACACCCATTATTTCTCGCTCCTTTCATCCTCTCACCCCCCTTATTCCTCTTCCCCCTTCCTTTCCCCCCTTCTTATCACTCCACCCCTTTTGGCTCCTTTGCACTTCCTCCCTCTTTTAATTCTTTCACTCATCACCCCACCCACTTCCTAGGGAAGCCTGTCTCTCCTCAACTCTCCCCCTCTTTTCCCTCTCTATCACCCCTCCCTCATCATCACATGTCCTCCCTATGCCTCCATCTCTTCTCTTGTCTCCTCTTGCCTCCTCCTCCTTTCTTTCCTAGAATCCCCAGTCCTCCATCTTCTCTTATGACTCTTTTCTTCCCCATTCTGTCTCTCACAGAAGATGCTACAACTCCCAGTGCTTGGCTAGATTACCAAGTGACTATTACCACACCCCCATCTCAATAAAGACTTTTATTTTTTCCAAGCTCTTAAGTTTTTCTGATTTCTGAAAAAAAATCATGGAGTTCCCATTTATTGGAAAGTGTACAAACCTTTGGTGTTAAGTTTAAAGACTAGACAAAATATTTGTAATTGCCTAGTAGTTACAATTTTTATAAGCACTATGGCTATTTTTCTTCTAAATCCAAACTTAGGGAGCAAAAAATGTTTGATACCTACATTATGTTTATATCACATGATTTTTTAATTTTCCCTTTTCTCTTTAGCTGCTGAAAATAACAACTATAAAATTTTGCTGACACACTTGTATGCTATTAAGTTCAAAAGAAGTTTAAAGGGATTTTGTTCAGCTTATTGTTTTTGTTTGTCATGAAAAAAAAGCTTAGGTATTTTAAGATAGGGCATCTTATGTTCCTTATAGGTTTTACAAGAAAATTCGGCTGGTGGATTAGCTTTGAGAAGGTTACAGGAGGTAGCTGAATACACAGCATGCAAAGAACAGTCATATCTAGCTCTGGGATATGGGTTTCTTCTGTATGCCCTGAGAATCTCAGAAAGAAACAGCACAGCCCTGAGGAATGCTTCCTTCTAGTCTACTGACATGAATTTCCTGGAGCATAAAACACAGCCTCACAAAGAATTGTAATATTTTTATAAATTTGTGAAAGTTCTATTTAATTCATGTATTTCATCCCACCAATGGAGAAATGTGGTCTGTTTTATATTTCCTGTAGTTTATAAACACGCCAAATTTTAAGCACAAAGAGTCACCGCCTAGTGGCTGACAGGCAGAGTAGCATAACCAATGTCAACATAAATGTTACAGCTGGGTTCCTTATTTTATAATGAGATTTAAAAATATTACATGTATGAATTTTAAATACTAAATACTACTTTCCTAGGAATATAAATGTATTACTGATAACATATTGACAAATACATATACTTACACACAATAGTAACAATATTTAAAGACTATTGGGAAATGAATTTGATATTATGGCCATTTTCAAAATTCCACATATAAGTGTTCCATGTATAGTATATAATGACTTTTTAAAAAATATTTTCAAATTTTGAATGTAGCCCTCATTTGTTATAAGTATTTTAGTATCACTTATTAGATAGATAAATGGAAAGATGTTACTAAATAATAATTCTTCATTAGAGCAGGGAGATAAACTATATTTTAATTTAAAATGTTCTAACTTTTGAGTTTATATTTTTATATTCTTATAATACCACTGTGAAAACAGACTGTGGGCCTTCAATTGTTTTATAATTATAAACTTGTAAATGGACTCAGAGAATCAGTTTCTTACTACAGGTTAGAAGAATCTTACAGAATAGAATCTTCTAACCTGTAGTAAGAAAAAGAGATCTTGTAACAGATCAAGTAGAATTCCTAGAAAATACGTGAGCTAATGCATTTCTAAAGGTACCAAAAAAAGGTAGATTTTTCTGTTGTTAAGCACTCCACTTTGAATTGGTAAATCTATTTTTTAAACAAGAGACTTGCTTATAACTTAACCAGTAAATATTCAATTCTGTAATATAAATTCTAAGTAAATAAAGTACTAATACAAAATATTGTGTTTTTCATTTATGACGACTTGCATTTCCTTATCACCGCCAGAGTATTCAATATCAGATGATCTAAAGCCCTGTAGGTAAATAGATACTCTGATTAAATTCTGGAATTAAACTTCTCAGTATTGTAAGAGCCAGCACATCCATTGGAAAAATTCTGGGAAAGACGAGTGTGATTATGTGCCTTTTAACTACTGAAGTTTCTTGGATCGATGTATTATCTACAGTCTTATTTTTAAAAATCTAGAACCATTGGCTCTTTTTTCCAGTAAAGCTGAGACTTTAGATAGCTCCTCAGAATAGCCCCTGTCCCACACCTACAGAGCTGCATGCCAGACCTGGGATTGTCACGCAGAGAGAAGAGTGCCATCTACTGAAACCCGATGGTTTTCATTGTGGATGATGATTCCTCTTTGGTGCAGAGTTCCAAAGGTTTTGTAGCCCAGTTCTTTCATTCTGCAACATCAAAAGATATCATCGTCTTGAAGTGATTAAAGTGGATTGCTTAAGAGTTATAGTTTAAACATGAAAGATGTTATTGCCTTTACTGGACATGAAGAACATTTGTAAAGTTTTCAGGTCTACAGTAACTTTCTGGAAACGTCTCAGTGGACTGTTTCTTGTAAAACAGTTTTCCCTGGAAAAAGTTCAGTCCCACGGTTTTCCAAATTCAAAATGTGGGGGGCAGAGGGAGAGGTATAGTGTAAAAAAAAATCCAGAGTTTTGAAAAGGGAAACTTTGTCTGTTTCATGTCAAGATGACAACGGAAAAAATGAGATAGCTATTCTTACACAAATCATTTGTTAACTGCAGTTTGGGGAGTTACATTAACCACTAGAATGTCTGTCTGTGCTTAATGAAAACACAGCAGAAGTGGATTCCTTTCAGATTAACTAACAAATCCCTTGCACTTTCCATAACTGAGGTCAAGAACTGCCATTTAAAATGTAATCTTAATGAACAAAAGGAAAAGTTCAAATAAGAGGGCAAAATTAAAATGCTCAAGAGATGTAAAAATCAAAGATAAAAGATCCAGAAACTTAAAAATTCAAATTGCTGTTTTAAAACTCACATTGAGAAATAGCTGCTTCAGTAAGATAGCATTTACTTTTCTGAGACTTTGTTTGCTGTAGTATTTGGTGTGGAGGATGGCAAACAGATTGGGTTTCTCAAGTTAATGAGAATGAGAGAGATTCTCTTTGGAGCTGCATCTTCAGTTCATAATGTCTAACTTAGAAGGGAAGCATCTAATGAAGTTAGCAGTTTATTAATAATAATTATTTAGTAAGTATTTTCTGAAAATCAATGTCTTAGCATGACATTCTAACAATGTTTTTGACATTGGATACAGAAGTATTATTGTCAGTTTGTTGTTGTTGCTGTTGGAATCCTACTTTTCTGTATATAGCAAAATATATGCTAGGTTTTCCAGTCACATTTAATCTTGGTGGTGGTCTGGATGTGATTAGGGTGGCCTTGGAGATATCATTCTTTTTCATAAGGTCAGGAGAAAATAAACAACGGAATTTAACTCCAGATGTTAGCTTCTTGGTTTGAGACTAGACAAGAAAGATAGTCTGCGGAAAACTGGTATCCCTTTGTTAAAAAAAAAACTACACTTTTTAGACTCTGATTTAAACTTGCAGGGTTTGGAAACGATAAAGAGACAGAGCTTTGAAGTTGGCACCGTTAAGCCTATCCTGCCCTGGAACCTGCAGAAAGGGAATGGAACACAGTAGTTGAGAGTATCAAATTTAGAGACAGCTTTCTGGGATTCAAATCCCAGCTCTACCCCTTACTGTATAATGTTGGGAAAATTACTTAATGTCTCTGTGTCTCAGATTCTTCATCTGTAAAATGAGGATTATGATAGCATTTGTATCTGAGGGCCTTTGGGAAGAGTGGGTAAATAGATAGGCAAGACACTCAGAACACTGGCTACAACATAGGAGATACTGTATAAGCTCTGTCTAATGTGTTTTACTATTACTGGAAAATAAAATTACTGTAAGGGAAAAATTAAAGCACTTAGTGACTTGGTGGTAATAAAGGTAAGATATAAGATTTTGACTATCAAATATAACATTTAAAGATATTTGAAAACTATGATAAAAAAGTAGTATGTATTTTATTAAGAATTATACAATTTATCACTAATCCAATGATATTGCAATACCATTGCTGATTGTCAGGTTTATGATGCCTTTCATTTTAATTTTCTAATTATTTTTATTTTCTCAGGACAAAATATTAGTCACCTAAAAGGAAATTTCTAATTGGAGATACAAAAATCATATGTTTATAAAAGTAAAATGAGAAAACATCTAGGATTGATGATTTATAAAGTTTCTTCAGTATTTTTGGTGGGAATAAGAATAAGCAGAATCTACCTTGTTCATGCAAACATTTTAAAATTAAAGTTATCCATCTATATAGGTCTATAATTTTGTCCTTCAAAGCTCTTTTTGTTAACTGACATATTTAAAGATAGTCCAACCAAAATATAAGCAGCAGAAACATATTTAATAAAATATATGTTCTCCAAACATTAGTGTCATTTAAAAGTCAAACATTTCAGTTGGAAACTATATGAATGTCATATATTCACTTACAGAATGTTCAACCTTCTAAAGTAACAGAAAAACATGTTATGATAACTGACATACCTCATCTATCAGTAAAAAAGGAAGACAAAATATTAAACTTGTCATTCAAGCTAAATTAATAATTTGTATGCTTTTAGGAAATATTATTTTACCACAAAAAGGAAGTTTGACAAACAATTTGCATTTTTTCAGTCACAACAATAAGATCAGCATAAATTAACATTTGAAGAATGAAAAAAAAAAGGAAAGCTTTAAGTATATCTAAAAATATTAGATTATGTTACTTGGTTTTATTTTTCTCCAAAGTTCCAAAACAGAGAGCTAGGAAATAAAAGAAGCTACGAATCAATTATGTCATATATTAGCTTCATTTTGTTTTGTAATTTAAATCCCAGTAAGAAGGTGATTTTGACTAATGAATTGCTCATGTGACCATAAATAAATTTCAGGGCTGTACTTGGTAACAGGAACCAGAGACATCAAGTAACATGAGAGGTGGAGTTAAAAATTAATTACAAATTGGAACAGGGAGAATTAGCTTAAGCAGGTACAATAAGGAAAGCAACTGGAAAATCTATTACTTGCCCAGCAGTGAAGATGGGATTATTTGATTTTTTACTTAACATTTTTGAAAAAGTAGTTAACCTTTTTTTAATCAAAGTAGCTCTGAGTTTAGATGTCTCAGAAAAGAAGGGAATGCTATGAGACTATTCTTTATAGATTTAATTTTGTATTCGCCATTTCTACATGCTGCAAGTGGCTTCCTGGATTATTTTATCCCTCTTGAAAACAAAACATTTTTTCCCCTTAACTGCTATGGTTTCCCCTTGTAATTACTAGGCTACAAGACTAAAACTGAGGGCCATGAGACATCTGTGTGAGAGTTTTAGCTTCCGGGAGAACATATTGCCAACCATATTTTGTCATGCGCAGAACAAAGAATTAGAGGAAACTGCAAAAACCTCACCATTCTTTAAAAAACTACCTGAGGTAATGCAATAGAGAAAAGTCTGACTTTCAGCCACACGTTTCTACAGGAACTAACTCTTCAGGGGAGCCAAATTTCTTTCAAATGTCTGTGAAATAAGTTATGGCATACATAAAACTGCATTAATTCTTAATTTTAAAGCATTCCAACTTTCTTTTATTACTAAGACCAGCATCACTTTTTAAAAAAAATATATATACTTTAAAATAACTTAACTTTTATATGGAGATGTCTATCTTTTCAAAAACATAATGCACATGGTTTTTAATAAAATTTGGAAGCAGGAGGTTAAATAACAGTTTTTGATTATATAACATTGCATTTAACTGAATTCTAATAAATTTGTTTACAATTTTAATAAGTTGATCATTGTGCCCATTTATTTAGTAGTTTTAGATCAAATGGAAGATACTTTCTAGTGATGTGATGACACTTCAATGGGGCGTAAACACTGGAAAATGTATACAAAAGGGAAAAATTATGTCAACTTTAAGGCACTTTAAGAACACAGGAAGAGAAGATATTTAAAATATGAGCTACTTGATCCAAGTGTAAACTATTATCCTCATTTGTTTTTAATGTCATTGGAATTCAATGACTAATTTTTATAACAAGTCCTGTGTTAAACATAGAAAAATATTTCTGATCCAGAGACAAACAGCTGAAAGAATCATTAGTATAAATCAGTAGTATTTTACTGAGCTTTAATGAAGTATCATTGACATATAATTGTATATATTTAAAGAGTACAATGTGATGATTTGATATACATATACATTGTGGAATGATTACCATAATCAACTTATAAAATGCATCCATCACCACATATAGTTACTTTTGTTTGTGTATATAGTGAAAACACTTAAGATCTAGTCTCTAGGCAGATTTCAAGTACAAATACAGTATTATTAACAATAGTCGATGTTCTGTATTCTAGTAGTATTCTCAAGGGAAAGGGAAGCCTGAAATCCACATTATTAATGGGGAAATATTGAGCTAAAACTAATCTATTGGAACATTTCATAAAGTTAATTTAGAGAAAAATTTTAAATGATTCATTTTAAGAAAAAGAAGCCAATGCAAAGATCAAAGAAAGTATTTCATGCAATTTTACTAAACAGGCTTCCATCTCATTAAAAACTCTCAGCTCTTTTCTGGAAATACAGTGAACTTAGTTCTTAAAATGTCAGCTATGTTTAGAGAACAATGAGTTTAATACTTAGACCCTCTTATATTATTACTGTTCATAATAATATGAAAACTTGTGTTTGTACCTCTCTTAAGCATATCCTTCTTAACACTATTTAAATAGGCCTCCTTCATTTGCAGTAGGTAAGTATTTGGAATTCAGCTTTTATGCTTACTGAGTAAAAGGGAATGATCCTTTAAAAGCTTAGACAATATTTCTTCCTAATAGTCCCATATATTTGTTTCAAACATGAAAGAAGAACTAGAGTAACTTTTCCTAGTTAAAATTACAATAAAACAATTATGCTTTCCTATATTAGCTGTAGACCACATTGGATAATTGTAACACAAAGAAAGAATTTTTAAACTTCTTGAATCCATCAAGGGTATTGCACAAAATCATGAAAGCTGAATCTGCATGCATAAATGGAAGCAGGAGTGGAGGCAATTTTAGGAGAATGTAGAGTCCACAGGTTTTGAAAATATCCTTTGCTGTGGACTTTTACCAAACCAACTAAACCTGTAAATCCAAAGTATTTTAGCATAAACTTAAATCAGTTACTTCAGATATGGAGGGAACATAGAAAAGGGAACTTAAAAATGTGATATGTATTTATGTGACTGTATATAGTATTCAGATACAAAAATCTCAGGACCCACTCAAAGGCCTCTTGGGACAAGGCAGCAAAGTGTGGTTGTTAACTACTTACCTACTCCAGGGAGGCCTCTTTCAGCAGACATTTAAGATCTTGGCTCTTAGAAAATAAGATGAAAGTTCACTTTTTACAAAAATACAAATACTCAGCAGTAAGTACATCCTTCGTTGTTTGCAAAAATTTTTGCAGATATTTAGAAACTTCTTACTTATTTACTCAATGCTGGCAAGCTATCATAGTAATCCTCAAGAACTAAAGTTGTACTTAACCACAACCACAACTAATGCTTTAAGAATTGAGACCAGGTTCTCTTTTGGCAACCCCTAAGCTGATTCATTGGTAATAGCTGCTGAAACCATCTAAAATTATGGTTGAAGCAAATTTTTGACCATTTTAAGCTTCAAATACATGGTCGTGATTCATATTTTTCCTATTATTTTTACTTATTTCTTACCAATATTTGCTTATAAAAACACCTCCTTTTTGTAATTTGGAAATCTTTGTGCATCCATATGTGATATCCAATATATTATGTTATATCATGTTGACCTAAAAGCTCAAAAGACGTGACAGCAATACTCAATATACACAATGAGCTTTGTTAATGCTTTCCCAGGATTCTGGGAGAGTGTTATGTTGCCTAGAGCAGCTGAGTTTTCTCCTGAATTTCTCAATGAGATTAATAAAATCCAGAAAGTCTAAAGAGGTGGTAACAAAATTATCTTATAGTTTAATGCTCCCATCTACTGTTAAAGTAAAGAATAACAATTGGGTCAAAAGGTTTGTTTTTGATTACACAATTAATAAATAAATGTTTGTTAGTGTGATTTTCATTGTTGTTAAATTCTTACTGTGAATGAAATTAGAATACTTCCTGCCTTAAGAAAAACTTAGTATGGTGTGCCAAAGTGATGTTAATAAACAGATTTGGTATTTCAATCTCTTACTACTTAGCAAATTATGAAGGAAGAATATGATATTCTTGGTAATTTAATTTGTGGATGTTTTTTGAATAGGCATATTCATAAGAAGATGCACATTAGTTCAATAAAAATATATTATGTGTTTCAAATTGTCTCTACTTTGCCTATTAGAAATAGTCATGATAACATTTTTAAAATCAAATTTCAGTAAAACATGAGAAAATATAATACTATCTTGTTTATTTTCCAGTTATTGACGGAGGATGTTCCCATCTCGGTCAGGCTTATGCGGACAGAGATGTCTGGAAGCCAGAACCATGCCAAATATGCGTCTGTGACTCAGGATCTGTTCTCTGTGATGACATAATATGTGATGACCAAGAATTAGACTGCCCCAACCCAGAGATCCCATTTGGAGAATGTTGTGCAGTTTGCCCACAGCCTCCAACAGCTGTGAGTGTAAAGAAAATGTATAGATCTTCAATATTTATATTTAAATATATGACTGGTTCCTATATTTTTAAGGTCTAAAAAGAAGTGAAAGTAATGTCTGTCAAAAAATCATGTCATATTACAAATAAAAGGTGTATGTTCTGTTTTAAAACTAGAGATTGGATGCAATTTAGGATAAGAAATAAATGTGCAAATTGGAACACACTTCATGGAAAAACTGATCTTATGTCTTTTTCATCTGTATCTTTTCCGTTCACTAGCCTCCTCCCCCTACTAATGGTCATATACGTCAAGGCCCCAAAGGAGATCCAGTAAGTAAACATTTTTCAGTGGAATGAAATTAGTTCCTTAAGTGGTTTGTTTTTTTCCCCTGGTAGCTTATTTATATTTCAACTTTCATTATGTATACATTTCCTTTGGTAGCACATATTTAAATAATGATGCAAAGTAAACTAATAATCCATGATTGTACATATAAAGATTCAAGTTTCCCAAACTCTACATAATGTCTTCATCTCCATTATCAGTTTGAAAAAATAAAATAAAGGTCAATGACAATGGAATAAATGACAGTGAAAGTTTTCATATGATTTGGTTTAAAAGGTATATATTCCCAAGAAAATGTATTACTTATATTGATTCCTCATATTACAAAGCAGAGGAGCTACAGTTTGATAATGATTCTGAGACACTAGGACTTTTCACTGTTTCATTAATTTTTATCTATGATATTTTTAGGGCCCTCCTGGTATTCCTGGGAGAAATGGTGATCCTGGTATTCCAGGACAACCAGGTTCCCCTGGTTCTCCTGGCCCCCCTGGAATCTGTGAATCATGCCCTACCGCTGGTCAGGTAATAAATTCCTGGATAAAAAGTTTCCCTGTGTTAAAATACCCACTTATTTCCTTTTCTTTAGCCTATATTACATCTCACTTTTATGGGTTCCTTATATCTATTTTCTGATTTTATATATTTAACAAATTCTTATCTAGTGCTAATAAGTGTTGGCCACTGTTCCAAGCATCTTATAAATATTTACTCTTCCTTATAATGCTAATGTTATTGCTACAATATCCTTGCAAAATTTCCAACTTCCTAGCAGTTGTATAATGTATGCACCATGTTTGAAAAATGAACCATCAACTTCCAAAAGAATTAACCTAGAGAATTTAGGAATTGCTGGAACTGTGCCCATTTTCCTTATAACCGCCACAGTAAACCATCTTAAACTTTGATCAAAAATCAGTTGAAGAGCTGTGAACACTCCTTATTGACTTCAAATCAATGGGATTTTTCATACTATGCATTTACTCTTGCCAAGCCTTCACAGCACAACCTGCTTCTTGAAAGCATGCCAGTGAACTAACTCTGCATGTAAAACAAATAACCAAACAAATAAATGAAACGAGAGTTCATTGTGCTAGAGTAAGGAGAAATTTAAAAACACATACAGAAATTACTACAAGTTGTAAAAAAAAATTTCAAATATCAACTTAACAGGAAGCAAAGGATATCATCTAATTATTCTTATCCTGGGATCAACAGAACCCAATGCTTAACCTAGAATTCAAAATAGAACGATCACTCCAAGGAAATTCAATAAACATATGAGCCTTTCTTTTATTCATCTGCTTATATTCTATGTAGATGTTTGTTTTGGGGTGACTATGTTGGGCACACTAACCAAAAGCCAGGGTATATAAATTTTAGTTATTAACTGTCAGGAAAATAATATGACCTTATTTTTCTGCTCAAAATGAGGTCAGATTACACATGCTCTGAAACCTCTTTCAGCCTCAAACAGTCTATGATCTTATGCTTCTAATGCTGTGGATATAGCTTAGAAATAATATTTTAGGTAAGTGCATATAGAAACAAATTATTTCAGATTAATATTGCATGTAGTAAGTTGAATGATTTGTGGAATACAAAGCAATGATTTCTGTAGAATATCTAATGCTACAGGGAAACAAGATAAGCAAGATAATTAAATAATACATATCACATCCCCTGGCATGCAGAAAGTTCTTAGTGAATGGTAGGTGTTGCATTCACTTCTAAATACTTATGTAAAAAAACACGTGATTTACATATCAAAATGATTGTGTCTGTCTGGTCTTTTTGCTACAGAACTATTCTCCCCAGTTCGAATCCTATGATGTCAAGTCTGGAGTGGGAGGAGCAGGGATCGCTGGCTTTCCTGGACCAGCTGTACGTACAAGTGTTTCTCAGCATTTTAGAGCATTATTTACTCTTCCATTTGGTTAAAACTTGAATGTTGTTCTAGTTGTTCTAGTGATATAGCATATAACACAATTGTAGAAAATAGCTTGTTCTCTATTAAGGCTGGGGAAGAAAGTGGTAGGATTATCATGATCCTTCCATCCCAATTTTCCCCTCATCACCTCTCATTTCATCCTGTTTGCCCCCTCATTTCTTCCTTATACAACCACCTACACTAGTGAGCCCCACCTACCTTCATGCTTAGATTTCACACTAATATGTTCTTAATTTCAACCAACTCTTGTGTTTTTACTACTTCCTCTTTTTCTCTTTCTCACCTCAGTTTTTTCAGAATCTTCTTTCAATGGCTTTTCATTAACTAGTGATGAATATCCAATAACACAATCTGTCTCACTTTAAATCCTGGAATCAAATACAATTACTTCCAGAATTCATCAAATCTTTAGGTTCACCTACCATAATAATAGCTTTTCCCATTGCACCCAAAGGATTTATAGAAGAAAACAGCAAAAATCATTGAAATCTGGACACAGGGATGTGATGCATGGTGTCCCACATACAGGACCCTGTTGTAGACAGCCTCTCAGGAGGAACAACGCTAAGAAAGGTTATCATTTTACTTCCAGGAAAAGGTACATAAGTATAAATAAAACAGGATGCTGTCTTCTCAAGGATTATGGAAGACTGTTGCTCAGATCACTGGACCCTATGTTTGTGACTTCTAAAATGAGAAAGGACAAAGTCTAACTAATATATCCAAATGAGCAGTTAAGGAATGAACAATAAAATTCACACAAAGTAAATTGCGAAAAGAATTGTACTAGTCTCTAAAGTTTTAGGGGCTGTGATTTTTTATGGGGATATCTTTCAAAGCCAGAAGAATTATATTAACTGTGTTAGTATCTGGTCTTACTCAGCTATATTCATATTATGAATCCTATTATTAAATCAGATACACAGTTTTTACTTTAAAAGACCTAAAAAGCCACTCCAGCTGGTGTGGCTCAGTGGATGGAGTGCCGGCCTGTGAACCAAAGGGTCGCCAGTTCAATTCCCAGTCAGGGCACATGCCTGGGTTTCAGGCCAGGTCCCAAGTAGGGGGCACATGAGAGGCAATCACACATTGATGTTTCTCTCCCTCTCTTTCTCCCTCCCTCCCCCTCTCTCTAAAAATAAATAAATAAAATCTTTACAAAAGAAAACCTAAAAAGCCACTAATTAACATTCCATAAAAGTTGTTACAAGAGAAAATTTAATTACAGCTTGGTTTTATAAATTTAATAACAGTCTAAAAAAATAGGTGACAACACTGAACTCGTTTCCTAGTTTATGGTTCTGAAAAATAATGGCAATTGATTATAATTGCAATTCATTATGTTGATGATTCTCATATGCCCATTTAATCTTTATGTCTACATAAATTAGTTATGTAATTAAGAATTTTGGGGTTAATTTACACCATTATTTTTAGAACCTAGGTTGTGTAGTATGCAGATAACTATTTTTCCACAATGTGTTGGACTACCAGTCCAAAGAGAAAAAATGCTTCTTCACTTCTACCAGCATCTTAACAATGAAAAGGTTTTCATAATATTTTGCATGTATTTTTTCAGATTTTGAATCCCCATTTGGAGGGTTCAGGCCAACATTTTATAATATTTATGAATAATTTTTGTTGATTGTGTGGGAATTTCATTTAGAGTGACATTTTGGTAATATCTTTATTGTAAATAAGTACAATAAAATACAATAAAATGACTATAATAAAATAGCCATGAATAGTTATTATATAATAAGGTAGATTGTTCACATTTTTAGAAGTATTAGTATCTTTCCTAAACAAAGGCCTCTCTTTGATGCTCCAATAAGGAGTATTTCAGATGCATTTACTTTGTATTTATTCTTCAAATTTACATTCCAGGGCCCCCCAGGCCCTCCTGGCCCCCCTGGTGCGTCTGGTCACCCTGGCTCCCCTGTAAGTATAGCCATCATTGGTGTCTTCTTCTTCATGCACATTATATAAATCAAGTTTAATGCAGAGCCTGCCATGATTTAGCCATTCGAGCATGCGCAATTCCAACTGAGTACAGAAGTCACAACCAGGAAACTCATTCCTGCAAAGATGTTGGAATTTCATATGTAATTCCTTTCTACCAACAACTACTAGATCAACTAATTAGAAAACTTCTATAAAGTTAAATCACATGTTTCATTTGCAGGTAACATGATTAAGTTTGAAACAATTCAGTTTCAATGGACTGAAGTAGATGAAATAACTTTATGCTGATCTGAAAAATTTTTATTTTAATCATTGTAAACTGGAACAAACTTTGCTTGCTACATGTAAAAATATTGATGTCATACTGTCTTCAAAGTCTAAATGAATTATATGAAGGTTAAGTTACTTTAAAAATATTTACATATTATTTTACTCACTAGGGTTCTCCAGGATACCAAGGTGCCCCTGGTGAACCTGGGCAAGCTGGTCCTGCCGTAAGTAACAATTATATCTATATTTAATAAATTGAAAATTCTATATAGAAACCACCTTCATTTTCTAAAATATAACTATAGGTTCTACAAAGTATAGATTAAGTTTATACTTTCAATTTATAATAATAAATGGTATTTTAATGATAGTTGAATGGGTTTCGCAGATCTTTTGAATTCTTTTAATGGTTTAAATATCTTGAAGATACTATTTACTCTAGGAAATCTCTGGCTAATTAACTATCACAATAGTCCACTTACTAGTGTGGCTACAAATCCTCTGTCTCTTAAATATAGATTTAATTTTCTTATAGCCACTCAGTTCACCTTTTTATCTACTCTTCTGATATATAATTTTTAAAACTTAATTGAGTAGAAATAAGCATAATTTAATAGGCTTCTCCAAGAAAACATGCTGTGTAAATAAGCAAGTAAGGTGAAGTTTTTTTAATATTTCAAAAATATTAGAAAATACTTATATAATTAAAAATTCAATATCTCAAAAATGTAGAAGTGCATCTAAGTTTATAAATACACACATATGATAGAAAACATAGATGCACAATATTTTTAATTTTTATTAAAAAAATTTAACAAACAGTAAAAACTTGATATAATATAGGTACAATACTAACTTAATGTGTTATTTTCTTGATGAGAAATACTGAGAGTATTTTCTAAAAGGAGGTTGTTTCCATTAATACATATAATGTGTCATAAAAGATTGACCATAACAGAAAAATCTACAGATTTATTTGCTTTTTTATTTCCTTATTTTCAGGGCCCTCCTGGACCTCCTGGTGCTATGGGTCCAGTTGGTCCTGCTGGAAAAGATGTAAGTTTTTAAAAATTGAATGAGGATACAGCAAAATCCAATTTAGAATATTCTAAACAGCATATACCATATGCAATAGTTTCAGAGAGAAAACCCTTACTCAAAAGTTGTTAATATCTTAATGGCATTTTAGCTCATATCAATTAATCTTTGGATATCTATATAGTATTTGCATAATTACATACACCATTTAAGTCCCAAACTAGCAGAACCCACAGAAGTGCTTCTTGACTCTGCTGAGAACATATATCCAGTGACTATACTACTTAATGGGAGAAGATAAAACTTTCTTCTCTTTGCTTCTTGTAATGGAGAAATTAATATCAGTACTTCATGAATTTCAAAACTTATAAACACCTTTATTTACTATTATGCTTTTTCTTTCCCATTTAATTTTCTTAATTTTAATTTTCTGTTTATTTTTATTGTATTTTTTTCCCATTACCCTTCCTCCCCCCTTACATCCCACTCCCCCCACAATCACCATCACATTTAATTTTCAATTGCCAATTCTTCTCAATAGATTGAGAGATGGTCATATTAATTCAGTGATGAAAGATGCCTACATTATTCATAAGTTTACACCAAGGTGGGAAAAGCCCTCCTTATTCCTTCTGTTAAGAAAGTTGATCTCACTGTCATGTTTACCCCAACTCATTTTCATGAGTTCTTGGTGAGAAAAGTACAAATTAATCAGTTTGTTAACTGGCTATAATGTGTTTTCACTTATACAAACACTATGTATTGTTTATTTCTCTGCCTAGGGGGAATCAGGAAGACCCGGGCGAACTGGAGAGAGAGGACTGCCTGGGCCTCCGGTAAGTCTTCAGCATCCACTGAATTAGTTGGAGTACTCACAATGGTCTTAGCTTGGAAATTATTACATAGTTAAATTATACTAAACTTTAAAATAGAAGGCATTTTAGTACTGGATTGTGATTCTCTTTGATGCTTCATTAAAATCTTTTGTATTCATTAATTTTAGGGTATGAAAGGTCCAGCTGGTATGCCTGGTTTCCCGGGTATGAAAGGACATAGAGTAAGTAGAGTTTCTAAATTAACTATAAGCTGTTTCATTTGGCAACATGTACTTGCCTAACCAACACTGAATATGTGCCAAAAATGGTTGACTCAAACAACAAACTAGTTATTTTATAAAAAGTAAGTAAGCTGATTTTAAGTGCATAAAAGACTTAGGAAAAAATAATTTAATTTTCTTATCACAATTGTCAGACAAAAATACAAGAATGTATTACTTATGTGTATCATGGACTTAGTCAATATAATTTACAGATAGAATTAAGCAGTTTTATTCTATGCAAAATATTAAGCAGATCCAACCAACTGAACCAAAAATCTATCAACTTAATATAAATAAATATCTATGAAACTGATATTTGCTACTCTACAGCTAAGGCAACATCTTGATTGGACTAAATTATAATTTCTAATTAGGTCAGGTTTTTTACTATAAAATCAATGTCAAATGTCTTCAATGTAATTAAAGAAGTTTTAAATTATTTATGTTAATGTTGAAAATATTGTTATGTGGAAAACTAGTAACAAAAAACTCAATGTAAAGTTTTCAAGTATCATGTAGTATTAGTAGATTTTTAATATTTTTACTATTTTTACATATTTCATAGGGCTTTGATGGACGAGATGGAGAAAAGGGTGAAACAGGTGCTCCTGGATTAAAGGTGAATTACAACAATATCATATTTTCATAAGTAGTAAATTTATTTAAATGTTATAACTAAATTTAAGATTTATATTTTGGGATTTAACTTTTTCTGAAAAAAGTTAAATGAATTTTGCATTATAAGAAGTGCATAGTAGTGACTAACCAAGATGTTCTATTGAAGCTTTCATGAAAGTTGTAACTTGAACTGTCTAGATTAAAAGTAAATGAACATCTCTGAGTTATCATTAATTACTCCTGTTTAGTGCATACATTTTTAAAATACAGAAACTGAGATTTCTGGTAAGTACAAAATGATACAAAAATTTAATATTTTTAAAATGTGTCTCTTTTTTTTCTTGGGTTCCACAACATTTTTCACAACATGCTGTGATTAAAAAACTAAAAATTTTCTTCCTGTTACATACAGTGGTAATACATTTTATGTTTCTAGGGTGAAAATGGTCTTCCTGGTGAAAATGGAGCTCCTGGACCCATGGTAATTATGTTCCCTACATAATTCTCAGTCTTACTCTTAGCCTCTATCGAACCCCAAAGTTGCTTTGCTCTCTCAGCAACTGTTCTTTGGCATCTCAGGTTTAGCGTATAACCATACTTTCCATTGTATTCTGTAGGGTCCAAGAGGGGCTCCTGGTGAGAGAGGACGGCCAGGACTTCCTGGAGCTGCAGTGAGTGTTGTTAGCAGCATAGCTATCACAGCCCAGAGTCACAAAGGGTCTCAGCCAGTTTTACAGGCTGTGACAAACTGCTGAAAAACTGCTTTTCTTCAGTATCACACTTAAAGTTACCTCCATAAAATTCTAGTCCTAATTATAAGGAAATGAGTGTTTTATAGTTATTATCCTTGTTGAGGATATTTTTTAAGTATGAACTTTGCATATGTTACAGAAACATTAACTTAGTTTGTAAAATATAAAATCCAATACTTCTTTTAGATCATTGTTTTATGTATGGGTTTTAACAATTTGACTTTTAAACATATGTAACCAGTAAGCAGATTTTAATATATTCAAGGAAAATTAACTCAATTGAGTGAGAATTTTAGTCGAAGTATTACTTGGCACCAGTCTCTCAGAATTTAGAAGATATTTAAGGCAAACTTCTCTTCTTAGGGGGCTCGAGGGAATGATGGTGCTCGAGGAAGTGATGGACAACCCGTAAGTAACTTTCTATCTAACTCTGATTTGCTTCAGGGTAATGAGCGATTACCCTGGGTTGTGGAATATTGGAATACGGATTAGAGACCCAAAACTCAGCATTGTTCATAAATATTTGATTCAAAATGACACTAAACCCATAAATAAAAAATCTAGAACCAGTTCATTAGAAATGCTAACCCCGTAACCAAACTTCTGATACTCCTACACTTAGCTGATGCTAGCATCCATGCAGTACTTGCAGTGCCTGTGTTCGCTCTGCTTTATCAATGAGAGCTCAGGGCGAAGTGACCTGCCTTCAGTCATAGAATTTGGGGCAGAGGTCTGGAGCAGGGCGAGATTCAAATTTTCTAACTTTAGAATTTACTCCCTTTTTATATTACCACATTATTTCTCCACATAATATTCATTCACAAGTGATAATTATGCATGATTTTTACATGCATAATTGTCTTTCATACTGGGTATATTGATTATTCACTATTAGCATTTGTTTTTGTATACTTGATTCAGAGGTCTTGAAATGGTATTTAATGTTTTCAGGGCCCACCTGGTCCCCCTGGAACTGCTGGATTCCCTGGTTCCCCTGGTGCTAAGGTAAGCATGTATTTCTATAGAAGAATATAAAATACACCTTGTAGACAACCAAATTATTGGGTGGCTTCTTGAAGATAATTTTTTACCAGTCAAGTGGATATCTTCTATCTATACAGATCTTTAGAGTCCTATTCTTTCTTTAAAATATTAAACTTATTGGGGGTAATATTGATTAATAACATGTAAATTTCAGATGTTCAACTTTATAATATGATATCTGTATACTTTATTGTGTGCTCACCATTAGAAACCCAGTCTCCTTTTGTCGCTTTGTGTTTGTGCCCTTTTGCTCTCTCTTTCTGGATTCCAAGGTGTCTTATACCTGGCACTCAGCTATCCTGATATCTCTTCTGATGTCATTTCCCTTTGCCCAGTCATTTCTGGAACACAGAGATAACACAGTCACACACAGTTACTATTTTTCTCTGTTGTTATTATTAATGATTCACAGAGTATATATAGACGTCCCTTAGAGCATGTGTAGTCATTCTACTCTAGCCTTTGAGAAATGGGTTTAAATAGGACTGAAAAGTAATTTGGCTAAGAAATTAGAAATGGCAAGGGAAATTAACTATTTAGGGCTTATCCCTTAGGGTGAAGTTGGACCTGCGGGATCTCCTGGTACAAATGGCTCCCCTGGACAACGAGGAGAACCTGGACCTCAGGGACATGCTGGTGCCCCAGGTCCTCCTGTGAGTAGCAGACATGGCTATTGACAGGGAATGTGTTGCTACACTCATATCATGAAAGCATATGTTCTAATACTGCTATTAATTGAAATTGCTTTTTTGAAAAAATCTTGCTTAATGCTCTGCAATGACTTTAATGTTACAAATGCTGATTTGATTGGTACTGAAAATGGTAGTTTTTCAGGTTTGCACTCTTCAAATCTACAAATTTAATATTTATAAGACACAGAACAAATTAGAAGATAGTTTTTTGACACTTAAAAGCATATGCCCCAAACTAATCATCAATAAAAAATTCAGAGAAGAAACTAGACTAAACCTCTTCTATTTGTTCATTTAATAATTCAGAAAAATTCACATTATCTCTAATTTATTCAGGTAGTGATAATATTTTTCCTACATTTTATGTGTTGTGCTATAATTGGAGGAACCACCTATAAAACACAACACCAACCAGTAAATTTATTTTGGAAATATATAAACAACTTCTAATACATATGCACTATTGGCATTATTATCAATATGCATCATTTCCCCTTTAGGGCCCTGCTGGGACCAATGGCATTCCTGGTGGTAAAGGTGAAATGGTAAGATGCCCCCACCCCTCACTTTCATCTCACCCAACACATGTTTTGGCTTCCATTATTTTGCATGACAATACATTTGTGGTGCTTAAGTTAGCTATTCAGAAAAGAAAGTTCTTGTTTGGCTAAGGCTTGTCTTTTTTGGGTTGGTTTTAGGGTCCCGCTGGTATTCCTGGAGCTCCTGGACTGTCAGGAGCCCGGGGGCCTCCAGGACCAGCTGGTACCAATGGCATTCCTGGGCAGCGAGGTTCTCCAGTAAGTTACCTATTTTTCTTTTGTCACCTGAAAAGTGTGGCTTTATTTTAACAATAAGAGCATAAACAGCAAGCTTTTTACTCTTGTTCAGTTGAGTTTATGTTGATTTCACTCTCATTTTATAATTGAATGTTACTGGTGATGATTTTGTTAGTCTGTTCTCCCTGTTTTTTAAACCAAGATTTTATTTAATTTAGGGTGAACCCGGTAAGAATGGTGCCAAAGGAGACCCAGGACCACGTGGTGAACGTGTAAGTATTACCCCAACAGGTTTGGCTATCTCTTAGAAAAATAAAACATACTTAGAAAGTAAACAGGTAAGAATTTTGCAGTCTCATTCAGTCACTATTCCTCTGTTGGCTTCCTTCCTTAGGGCGAAGCTGGTACCCCAGGTACTCCAGGAACTAAAGGTGAAGATGGCAAAGATGGTTCGCCTGGAGAACCTGGTTCAAATGGACTTCCTGGAGCTGCAGGAGAAAGGGTATCTTTTCCATGGACATCTAAAAGGAAAACAGCATCACTATCACCCATATAGAACTTCACCTTCAGGGTGAAGCAACCATGATTTTCTTTATAATGAATACCCAGTCCCATATATTGTTTTAAAGCATTTTATAACATGAAAATATCTCTATTGCCATTCAAGAATTATGAAAAGTTTTAATGCTTTGGACTGAAATATTTGCCTTTCACAATTTTCAGGGTCAACCTGGATTTCGAGGACCTGCTGGACCAAATGGCCTTCCAGGAGAAAAGGTAGAAAACTTGACTTTCTATTTTCATAAATGCTAGTACTGCAAATAGGCATATTCTTCTATATAGTTTCCCATAACTAAAACCTAAATATCTCCAAGAAATATAATAGAGTTTAAAAAATATTCCCAGTATAAAACAATGGCTCCAGCCCTTGACAAGCCATCTTTCTACCTTTGTAACTAAAGTCACTTAATCTCTATAAGAATCCTTTAACTTACCAGTCAGTTGGGAACTATTTATCTCAGCCTCATGCCTAAAAGTTCTTTGAACACTTTGTATAGCATACTTTCATATTGCTATGCAAATATGATTTCATGCCATCAAAGATATTTACCTTTATATTCATAGAAATATATTGTTAAGCCACTAAATATTGCTTTTTAAAACATGTGATGTTTATCAAAGTTGCCTCAAAATATTTCAAATATAACAATCCAATTTATAGTTAACAGTGATTTTATACTGAACATGTCAGCAACACATCTGCTCTTTATTTTTAAAGGTTTTATTTATTTATTTTTAGAGAGATGGGAAGGGAGGGAAAAAAAGAAGGAGAGAAACATGGATAAGCTAGAGATACACCAACTAGTGGCCTTTCACACACTCACTACTGGGGACCTGGCCTGCAATCCAGGCATGTGCACTGACTGGAAATTGAACTGGTGTTCATAGGCCAGCATTCAGTCCACTGAGCCACACCAACCAGGGCTGGCTAGCTCTTTTTAAGAGACCAAATGAAGTTCTCTAGTTGAAACCCAAATATTGTCAATATCTAGGTCAACAAAGGCTTTTTTGACATATTTGTTGATCCCTTTCACCATGTAGGGTCCCGCTGGGGAGCGCGGTAATCCAGGCCCCGCAGGGCCCAGAGGAGCTGCTGGAGAGCCTGGCCGAGATGGTGCCCCTGGACCTCAAGGAATGAGGGTAAAGAGAAACACTACTACTTATTAAGAAAAAAAAAGGCAAATTAAGAAGATTCAAAGTCATCTTAATCAGACTACACTTTTTATAGGCTCACAACAAAACAAAACAAAATTTTTAAGAAAACTTAAGCTAGTATAGATTTTAAAAAACAGAAAATAGAACACTTTGACTAAGACACTTTATTGAAAGGAAAAAATGTGCATATATAAGGCTTCTTATGTAAATGGAAATCTCAAAATTTTATAAATGGATATATGTTTTTTAAATTATTTTTAAAGTACCTGAATGACTTTCAATTTAGGGTATGCCCGGAAGCCCAGGAGGACCAGGCAGCGATGGAAAACCAGGGCCAGCCGTATGTATACTCTTAACATCTCATTTTACAAGCCCAGTGAATAATGGCATGCATGGTACCTCTCCTTGATGTACATTTTATAGCCTTGATATGCACATTATATATTTTTATCATATTTTATCAAACCTATATTAATATATTTTTTTTTCATTAGGGAAGTCCAGGAGAATCTGGTCGTGCAGGTCCTTCAGGCCCACCTGGTCCCCGGGGTCAGCCTGGTGTCATGGGCTTCCCTGGTCCTAAAGGAAATGATGTGAGCTCCTGCCTTTACTTCTTCAATAACTTTTTGACAGAAGGCCTTTTACTTTCCAAATGGGAGTACTGAAATGGTCAAAATTTGACCTGTGCTTCAAAGCACAGAAGAACATATGAAAATCAAAACACTATGGGAGAAGGGAGTTAAAAATATTTTTTGGTAGAGTTCTTGGGGAAAAGTGGCAACATTCATGTAAACCTAGTTTTAGAAAGCAGTTTTTGGTTATGAGTGTGTATGTGGTGTGTGTATAAGAGGCAGGTCAAAATTCTGAGGGAACAATATGATGAATTACATCCTTTTGAGAATTAGTAAATACTGGCCATGTTTTTAGGGTGCTCCTGGAAAAAATGGAGAACGAGGTAGCCCTGGAGGTCCTGGACCTCAGGTATGAACTTTCATCAACTTCTTTCTAACCTTAAAATACAGGCACTTATCTCCAACCCTATGGCTTTGCTCTACTTCCTTAACTGCTTTTCTGTTTAGGGTCTTCCTGGAAAGGGTGGTGAAAGTGGACCTCCAGGACCCGCTGGACCTTCTGTAGGTTTACTCACATAAATTGCACATGGAGGTGGGTGGGAGTAGGCAGAGGGACAACTTTGGGAATTACATAATCTCTGATACTATATCATATTAATTCATCGAAACAATTATTATGTTTGCTTATTTAGTTAACTAGCTAAATGCTGACATTAAGTAAAGTTTATGTTGTACATGTTTCTCTTGCATCGCTTCCACAGGCCAGACCCTACCCTTCTTTCACACGTTAATTTTTAAATCAAACAACTGGCCTGCTGAAATGAAAACTGTGCAAACTACGCATGAAAGTGTCTTATAATGGAGGAACTCATTACATTTTTCTACCTAGGGGCCGAGTGGTGACAAAGGGGAAGCAGGACCCCCGGGTCCACCAGGACCACAAGTAAGAACGTGTCATTTAAATTGTCATTGAGCATCTGCTTCTACCAGACAATTAAGTACTTCCCTTTGGTAGCTGTATTTGTTAATTTTTTGTGACCCCAGTAGATTGCAATTCATCTTAAACTTAAAAGTTCTGGATCTGTGTTCTACCCTGAAATACAGTGATAGACAATCAATACAGTGAATAGACAGGCATAATTAATAACTAAAAAATAAAGTTTATATAATTCTTTATGTTTACTCATATTTTCACTGATATTTAAATTTATATAGCTAAATCCATTTTACCATCATCATCAACTCATTTTATAGAAAGAAAGAATAGAAGGAAATGAACACTGGTTTGTTAGACATGGTTATCACATCTCTGTCATTGAATTTTGAGTGTCACAAGTTTTTTACCTCAGAAAAGACCATTGAAACCATTTTTTAATACTTCGAAGAGACAAATGAATGAGAGTTCTTTTGGAAGCAATATTTGAAGTAACTGCACACTACACATGTGATTCTTTGTAGGGCATACCTGGAACCAATGGTCCTCCAGGAGAAAACGGAAAACCTGGTGAACCAGTAAGTTGCATGTTATTTTTTCATAATTCATAAACCAAAAGAATAAATGGTAATTATTTATTAATTATTAATTTTTATTTTCTCATGCCATGGTGTCTGAATTTTAATATTTAGTTGTGAAATATTCATAAACAAAACAGAAAAATTATTCAATCATAACAATTACATTGTTTGAATTTTACCATAGAATAAAAGCAACTAAAGAAAGAGTACATGGCTTGCGATTTGACAAATTGTACATTATGAAAACAAGACAAATGTGTATTTCTTATATTTATATAATATGTATTCTGATATAGGCCTAATCATAGCATGTAAATCTCCTAGGGTCCAAAGGGTGAAGCTGGTGGACCTGGAACTCCAGGAGGCAAGGTAAATATTTTAATTTATTTTCTAATGTTTCAGCAAGTTATAGAACAATTGATTAGTGGCACATTTTTAGTATATTACATCAAAATGCTCTTTTTAAGAATAACAATATTGTAAATGTTTGATGAATACGCTTAGAATAACTCAAGACATTTTGAATACATTAAATTTGCTTCATTAGGAAAATCAAGTTCGCTGACATTAATAAACAATATAGAATCAGGGCCTGAAATTTCAAAGAAAAATCTTTCCAGTGCATTGATTTTATATTTTTTAAACAAACCTGTTTTGGTAGAAGAACCTTAAAAATTTGCTTTTGTGAAAAAAAATCATTATGATAGTTTCAAAGCTAATTCATCAGGTCAGGTATCAAAGTTTCCTTGTTTAGATTAACTTTACATTTTCAATTCCCACTCAGATGATCAAATGTCTTTTACTAAAAAATTCTAGCCCTGGCTGGCGTAGCTCAGTGGATTGAGCGCAGGCTGCGAACCAAAGTGTCCCAGGTTCGATTCCCAGCCAGGGTACATGCCTGGGTTGCAGGCCATAACCCCCAGCAACTGCACATTGATGTTTCTCTCTCTCTCTATCTCCCTCTCTTCCCTCTCTAAAAATAAATAAATAAAATCTAAAAAAAATTCCAAATGGTTCAAAAATATTATTTAGGAACCTGGTGGTCTGCATCAAAACAATACAATTTAGGGTGTTTGGGGTTTATTTTTAGCGTTGGGTTTTCTAACAGGAACATTACGCTTTCTTCCTCCAGGGTGATCCTGGTGCCCCTGGTGAACGAGGAGCTCCTGGATCACCAGGGGCCGCCGGACCTAAAGGTGCAAATGGTTCTCCTGGTCCTGCAGGAGCAAAGGTAAAATGCCACATAATTCAATTCACCTAGATTTTACAATGCAAAATGCATTGCATTTCCTTCTTGTGATTTACTATTTTTTTTTTTAATTTTAGGGTCCTGCTGGTGTTGCTGGGCCACCTGGTCCTCCTGGTAGTACTGGTCTGCAAGGGATGCCTGGAGATAAGGGAGGCGCTGGACCTCCTGGCCCAAAGGGTGACAAGGTACTGACTTACCTTTTATTAATTATGTAACAAAACAGACTTTGTAGACTACAGGGAAATACCACCACTAGAAAGCAATCTACTTTCCAAATTGGTGTTATTTTATAGTAAGTAAAAATTTTATGTATTCCTTGAGCAACTATTAATCAGAACATCTAATGTATTGCACATATCACAGCAAATCTTAAAGGTGGCTCATCTTCTTGGCAGATTTTCATTGAGGATACTCCTAAGCTGATGACATTGGCTTTTGTTTGACAGGGTGATCCAGGCAGTGCAGGTGCTGATGGTGCTCCCGGGAAAGATGGTCCAAGGGTGAGTACTCATTTTGGGGAGAAACATGACTTTTCTATATGTGACATACAATAGTTTCCTCACCTCAACTTCCATTTGTTCCCAAAACTTTTCATGGTACATTAAACCATACTTTGCTACCTTCTGGGCATTAAAAAGACCTAATGATTTGATAGTTAAAATTTCTGATTTATATCTCTTACTACTTGACAATTCAACCATGACCTGAGAATGGAAAATCCTCAAAGTATAACAAAGGTTACAAGCTAAAATCATACTGAGTCACTAAAATCCAAGGTAATCAATACTGCTCATGGAGGAACTTTTTGATTTTAAAAAACATTGCAATTCTGTGGTAAAGTCATACCATGAAATACTACTTAGCAGTGAAAAAGAAAGAACTATCAATATCTGCAGCCATTTATACAGACCTCAGGGGCATCATGCTGGAGTGGAGAAAAGTCAAATGAAAAAGATACAAACTGCATGATTCCATTCAGGTAGCATTGTGAACTAACATAACATAGAGATATAGAACAGCTTTATGGTTTCCAGGAGTTAGGAATGGGGGAGTGGGAGCAGGCTATAGCTGTAGCAAGGTAACAGGAGGGAGTTATATGATGATCATACCTTTTGAGTATCTTGATTATTGTGGTGGTCATGCAGGGCTACATGTGATAACATCACATAGAGTTATATACACAAATAGTGCTTGCATAACTGGAGAAACCTAAGTGCTATGGATTATACCAGTGTCAGTTTCTTGTTTTTGATATTGTGCTACAGTTGTGTGAGGTATAACATTATGGGAAGCTGGGAGAAAGGTGTACAGGATTTTCCTGTATGTTTCTTTGCAAACTTCTATGAATCTGCAACTATTTCAAAGTAAATGTTAGAAAAAACAAACATTATATTCAATTCTATTCACATTAGCAAACAACTTCTAGATCACAGGTGGCAAACACAAGACCCATGGGCTTAATCTGGCCCTCCACCTTCTTTTACCCCGCCCGGCACCTTGTCTCTACCCGACAGCAGCACTGAGCTCTTGCTTAACTGTTAAGGAGTAGTTACATTCATACAGTCCTAAAATTACATTCAGCCCTTCAAAGGCAACTGCGGGGCTGATGTGGACCCTGGTGAAAATGAGTTTGACACCCCTGTACTAGATATAGTCATATATACATAATAAGCATGCTAAATAAACATGACAACTTAAGCCATTACATAGATGATATATTTATTGGAGTTGCTTTGAAAAAAACTCATAAATACTTCACATTTGACAGACTAGATGAGTAAGCCATCATCTAATTTTTTAAAATAATCAAATCTTTTATTTATGTAAATAAGGAAAACTTTAATACTTGAAAATGTCAATTTGAAAACTTTATATGTGCAATGACATTTTGAGCAGTGAAATGACACATTTTGAATTATTAAGCAGTTGAATAAAGAAATGTATTTGAATTTTTAAGTTATGATAGTAAGATCTTACATCACATCTTATTTACTTCCTGCAATAGAAAGAAGAATGAATCAATAAATTTCCACTGAATCTTATAGTCCTTTAGAGTCATCCCACAGGATCTTATGTTTACTAAGCTCTGAAGATTAAGCACACTCTGAAGAAAGTATCATTCAAGTCATAAAAGAAACCATGTTTGTAGTTTATTAGATGAATAATATGTCTGTATGCTCTCTGATGGTTAATAGGAAAATAATGCTTTTATCTGCAAAATTAAAAATATATTTCTGTTTTCTCTAGGGTCTTGCTGGTCCCATTGGTTCCCCTGGCCCAAGTGGTCCGCCTGGAGATAAGGTAACACTTCACACTATTTAGAAACAAAAACAAAATTTCTTTGGCTTTTTGGATGATGGGAATATTATTTTTCATTTCTCTTTTAAAGGGTGAAAGTGGTTCCCCTGGACCTCCGGGTGTAGCTGGTCCTCGAGGTGGCCCTGTGAGTGTTAAAGACATTTTCAACATACTTTTCAACCCCACACAGGCAGCAAGTACTTACATTTAGTAACTCTACCTAGTAGCCCTGAGTTTCAATGATGGGATACTGTCTTTAGAAGTCATGTGACATTCAACAAGAGTTAAAGTTTTCAAATCCAAAATTCACAAGAAAAATGTTAAATCATGGCTTCTTTGTTAAATAATTTTGGAAAAAAATATAAAAATTGCTCAAGTAATATACATTGGTAAATGAGTCTTCTAAATCTATAGAATCTTTGCCTGAGGCTTCTTGTAGATCTACACTTCTCCACCTTCAAGGTCTGTGACTCAGAAGAGATATATAGTAAATGTTTTTAAGTAATTTTAGTGATTTATTGATTTCTCAGCCCTTTTACCATATCTTTAAAATCCTTACATATTTTAGAAGTTATACAGTTAAATGTGTTCAATACACCAGAATTCTCAAGCAAATGATATCATAGTCAGAGGCAGAAGGAATCAATGGTTCTGGTGTTGTTCACTATTAATTTTGTTCAGAAACTGAAAAGTCTTCAGATGGTAAACCACATTAGTTACGTTTGTACACTTTCCTCTTCAAGAAAAGATAAGATGATGCAGAGGATGATGTGTGGTCCCCGTGAGAACATATCTTCCTGTGCTTAACAAGGATATTTTTCCCTTCAGGGTGAGAGAGGTGAACCCGGGCCCCCAGGACCTGCGGGCTTCCCTGGTACTCCTGTAAGTATGAACATCAACTGATAAGGAGAAGGGATTGAGAACTACAAATTGGTAGTCACAAAACAGTCTCAGGAATGTAAAGCACAGCATAGGGAATACAGTAAAAAACATTGTAGTAACTCTGTATGGTGACAGGTAGATACTTAAACTATCAGGGGGAACACTTTGTAAAGTATATGACAGTCTAACCACTATGCTGCACACCTGAAACTAATACAGAATAATATTAAATGTAAACTGTAATTTAAAAATATATGTGTCCAGCCCAGAATCACTATCTTGCTGAAAAATGGCAGAAGTATAAATTAAGTCTGGACATTGCCCTGCCTCAGTCACTCATTCCCTATCTGGTTATTTTAGACACCCGCCCCCCCCCTTTTTCACTTTATCTCTCTTCTTACTCTTTAAAAGATGCAGATAAAAAATACTCGCCCTATCTTTATGCCAGAGTAATGAGGCTAACATGATACCACAGATCTAAAAGAACTCTGCAGTTTTAAAAGTTCTTTCATTATAAAATGGTACCATTTAAATTTAGCTCTAAACACCATCCTTCTCAAACAGTATCACTGGTGCTCACTTTCAACACATCCTCGGAGATACATTCTCCCTTATGACAAATAATAAACATACTCATGCTTTTTTGATAATATCCTTTCAAAATATAATCTTTATTATATATTTCTATATTTTTCCATTACTATTGAAAATATTCTTTTATCAGGGAAATATTTTGAATGACTTTGTTTTGCCATGTCTTTTAAGAGCCTTCTTTTCCGATTTTATTTCAGCATCTCTCTCCCTGAGTAATTCCATTTTCTGAATATAAGTAGTGATAAGCCAGTGCACTGTGTGATGCAGTCAGCTCACAGGCTGTTGTTTCTGAATGCAGGGACAGAATGGTGAGCCTGGTGCTAAAGGGGACAGAGGCGGTCCTGGTGAAAAAGGTGAAGGAGGCCCTCCTGGACCCATGGGACCCTCTGGAGGTTCTGGGCCTGCTGTAAGTGTTCTCTCTTTCTTGAAGGCTTCTAGTAGAAGGCGTTTAGTTTATCAAGAATTTAATATGTCATACTGTGGGAGCTTGACATGGTGACAAGTACAGTCTTCATAAGAATATTGTTCTGAGTTTGAAGCTTGGTTCAAACAGTCTAAATGTCATGTCGATCAACTCTTCATAGAGTTACTCTACTTTTTTGTTTTGGGAGATGATTTTGGTAGATGTTGTCACTTGTATTGTAGTTTTTTCCCCCTAGTTTTATTGACATATATTTGATAGACAATATTGTATTGTATTGAATATCCTTTTCACCTCAATTCCACATAGGGTCCTCCTGGTCCCCCAGGTGTCAAAGGTGAACGTGGCAGTCCTGGTGGTCCTGTAAGTACTAATCTTCTTAATTAACTATTATTGAAAAGAATTAATTAATATCAATCTGTATAAAAACTGCATTTAGAGCACTAGATCCCTAAATAGAGTATAAAGATTATAATTACTTACTCATATATGGGTTATATGTAAAGTCCAAGAGGAAAAATAAAGCACAAGTGACTCAGAGTAGAAGGCAGATCCTACTACATTTTTTGTACTTTGTTTCTAGTGGTTATTTGTTCTCCTTAGTTTTTGAAATTCAAAAATATGTTTTCATTTCACAGGGTGCTGCTGGATTCCCTGGTGGTCGTGGGCTTCCTGGTCCTCCTGGTAGTAGTGTAAGTACTTTTTAAATGAATTTTTTTTTTACCACATTCCAAAAAGAGCATTCATGTATGCACAGGATAAGAAACTACCCATTGCTATATTTCCTTGTATTAAATATTATATAAAGTTCTTTGAATGCAAGTAAAACAAGCAAGAAATATTTACTATTTTTATTATAAAATACTCAAATTTCAAACACATTTTATAGGGTAACCCAGGCCCCCCTGGTGTCAGTGGTGCTCCAGGCAAGGACGGACCCCCAGGCCCACCTGGTAGCAATGGTGCTCCTGGCATCCCTGGGAGTACTGGGCCAAAAGGTGATGCTGGTCCACCAGGTGAGAAGGGATCACCTGGTTCCCAGGGCCCTCCGGTGAGTAGATTTGTTTCTCTAATAATTGATGAAACTGTCTTCTTTTTCATCATAAATTCAATAGAGGAAAATACACTCACATAAAGAAGAACTGAAACTTCATTATCTGTCACAACAGGGAGCTCCAGGCCCACTTGGAATTGCAGGAATCACCGGAGCACGGGGCCTGGCAGGACCACCAGGCATGCCAGGTCCTAGAGGAAGTCCTGGCCCGCAAGGCATCAAGGTGAGTGTAGCTGTCCTTGTATCCCTGCACTCTTGTTTCTTTTGATAGCCTTGGGAGGTCACTTAGCTACAGCAAGTATGTAATGAACAAGTTTTCCTGTAATAAATGAAAATTCTTGATATTTTCACATTTTTGGAAAGATTGTAATGGTCACCATAAGTCTACAGTTTCATGATGGCTCATAGCCATTTTTTTCTTGTGACAGCCATGTCTGTTTCCACATCTCATGTGAGAATGCATTCTGAATAAGATAATCAGTGGAATTACTCAGCCCTTTGGTGTCCAGAGTCTCTGGTCAAGTTAGAAAACACAAGAAGCTTGCTTGTACAAAACTTTTCCCATCTGGTGGAGATAGTTTTAGGAGCAGATTCAATAAAAATTGACTCAAACAAGGATTTTCCTTGGTCTTAAGTTCTTTAAAAAATGTCTTTTATTTTTTACACAGGGTGAAAGTGGGAAACCAGGACCTAGTGGACAAAATGGAGAACGTGGTCCTCCTGGACCCCAGGGTCTTCCTGGTCTGTCTGGTACAGCTGGTGAACCTGGAAGAGATGTGAGTGATAGTTCTTAGGAACTATCTAATCAGCCAAGCAGTATCTGATAACTTATTTAAGCAAGAGTCAAATTGGGCCTTTATGGTTAAGAGTGTAAATATTGCCATATGCCAAAGTGCTCCTTTTTCTAATAATAGATACTCCTTCTATTATAACTTAGAATAACTGTAAATGTTCATGTTCATTAATATTTCTCAATGAATGATCATTCATGGAGAAGAATATAATCCCTAGCTAAATAAAGAAACAAGTTGGGTGTGGGGAGAGCCCCAATTTACAACATTCCTTCTGCGTGAAAATATACTACATGTTATTTGTGATTAGTCTTTCCTTAAATTGTAGGTTTCTCTTATGAGCTTGAATTAATTTTACTGAAGCTTTTATTATTATATCTCCCCTAAGGATCTCTTTTAGACATTTTAAAAAAATCATTTCTCCCTTTCTCACCTCGTGAAACTTGAGTACCGCAGATACACTGCATTTAGGCATTGCCACCCTTTGAAGGGCCACACCCATTTGTTGTATCTACAGTTTTTTATTCCCAAGAACCAATTCTTATCCTCTTTAGGATGACATTGTTTCCATTGAGATAGCATGGCTTAAATGGTAATTGAATACATCCAAAGAGGTTGATTTCATTTCTGCTTTTTCTTTCTTTAATCAGGGAAACCCTGGATCAGATGGTCTGCCAGGCCGTGATGGAACTCCGGGTACCAAGGTATAAAAAGACACATCTACAATAGGCTTATGCGATTAAAACAATAGCTGCTGATGGTATTTATTTTGGATCTGTGAATTTTCCCACAGGGTGATCGTGGTGAAAATGGCTCTCCTGGTGCCCCTGGAGCTCCTGGTCATCCAGGCCCACCTGGTCCTGTCGGTCCATCTGGAAAGAATGGTGATCGAGGAGAAAGTGTGAGTTCTAATAAGCACCATCCTTCTTTACTTGTCTACTTTCCTCAGTAAAGAGATTAGTAGGTAGAAGAAAGAATTTCATATCTTTCAACCTAAAGGTCTACTACACTTGTTTTACAGTTTTTATGCTAGTCATTCCATAGGCAACTGTGGTAGTAAAGCTATATGAGAAGTTTCTAGCAGTCGTCAATGAAGAATTCATTAGTCAAATTCAAAATGGTATTAATCAGACCAAGTGTACATTCACCAGGTAAATGTAAGGCCAGATTAATGGGACATTCTGAGCTGGTCTGTTTAGAGCCCCCAGCAAAGATATAAACATGGAAAGGACATTGAAGGAGAAAATAATAGTAATGTTCAGTAATAGTAGGCATATGCCCTCACAATGAAATTATTAACTTTTAAATCAAAAAAAGCTATATCAATAAACTAACAATTCCTTGTGTTATTTGTTTGTTAATTTTTCTTTTAGGGTCCTGCTGGCCCTGCTGGTGCTCCAGGTCCTGCTGGTGTCCGAGGTCCTCCTGTAAGTTGTTTTTTTTTTCCTCTTATTAATTCCTGAGAGAGAGGAAGGGAAGGAGAAAGAGAAAGAGAGAGAAACATTGATTGGTTGCCTCTTGCTAGTGCCCTAGTTGGGGACCAAACCCCCAACCCTGGCATGTACCCTGACTGGAAGTTGAACCCATGACCTTCCAGTTTGCAGAATGTCACCCTATGAACTGAGCCATAATGGCCAGGGCCTTTTTTTTTTTAACTCAATTCTACAATGTAGAAAATATTCTATTTTCTGGCATGTTTGAGAAAAGGGAATGCCAAAATACATCACTGGAACAGAATTTAAACTTTCCTTCAATTATATAGAATGCAATTCAGGACCCAAAAGTTCCTTGGGGCTGAGGATATGCACATGGATTATTGGGGTTTCATGCAGTTATCATCCCAGAATGAAAACAACCACAAGAACAATGTTTTATTGTTCCATGTACATAGTGTCTGTTGACAAAATTTCTAACTAATAGGATGTCAGAAAATAAACTTAATTGGTATAAATTCTATTTTGTTTTTCCAATGTGTATGTGTGGTTATGACCTTAATTTGAAACGTGTTTTTATAAAGGGTCCTCAAGGCCCACGAGGTGACAAAGGTGAAGCAGGTGAACGTGGTTCCACAGGCATCAAAGGACACCGAGGCTTCCCTGGTAGCCCAGGTGCCCCAGGTTCTCCAGTAAGTGCACCCATTCTGTTAGAATATCCCCTTCAAAGCATTTAAACAGATGAAACAAGCAAATTTTAGACACCAATTATATAAAATATTCATTTCTAAAAGTATATGCTAAAAGAGATGAGAAACGGATTCAAGGACTTATTTAAAATAGTAGTTGGCATGAGACAATGGGAGATTAAAAGAAAAGGAAATTATATTTTATCATGATCCCCATGTTTCTTGACCTGATCTTAAATGTACAGTTTCCTAATCTTCTTAAAATCTTCACTTATATTCACTCTTTCTATCCTTTCAGGGTGCTGCTGGTCACCAAGGTGCGGTTGGTAGTCCAGGACCTGCAGGCCCCAGAGTAAGTACCACAGAAAGGTATTGGAAGGTCCACATTTTTTCACTGTTTTCATGGGAGGAAGGTGTTCTAGCTCTGTGATATTATGATAATTTTTAGGGACCCGTTGGACCTAGTGGGCCCCCAGGCAAAGATGGAACCAGTGGACATCCAGGTCCCATTGGACCACCAGGGCCTCGAGGAAACAGAGGTGAAAGAGGATCTGAGGTAAAATATCACTTAGAAATATATGGATTTAATTTGCTATAATCTTCACATTTTTTGAAACATTTTGCAATATTCTCAAACTGAGAGTGAGATAAATGTAATGCAATCACCCAAGTTGATTTGGAATATGAACAATGACTTTAAGACATTCTCCACCACATGAAGACTTTCTCCAACACCCCATAACAACAAGGAGAAAAAAAAAACAACCTTTTTTTATAGTTTGATCAGATAGCAGTTATATCAAAATAAAGACATAAACCCATTTAACCAAATAAACTCTACCTGTGTTGATCTCACACTGGAGTCTCACAACTATGATAAACATAGTGATTTGCAAATACAGGGGTGGGTAAAAGTAGGTTTATAGTTGTTCGTAGGATACAGGTAAGGATTATTACAATAGGCTTATTAACTCTGCATGTTGCATCCTCACAACTATAATCCAGCTTTCATCCACCCAGTATGTAGTACATCCTACTTCTCAAATAGCCTCCATGATTCCTTTTTTGCTACTGATAACTTCATTCCTAATATCTTTCTATTCTACATCTTTGGGGTTCATGGAATAAAAACGATCACCCCAATAAGTCACACATGTGTCAGTTAAAACACAAATAAGTTAAATGATCAGCTCAAAAATACAAAGTTAATGACAAATCTGGAACTAGAATTCTTATGCTAACACAACATCCCCTGTGTCATAATACTGATCTCATTTATACAGAAGGAGTCATGATGGAGTAAAATGCTCTAACACCACTGATTCTTACAATGAATTTCACTGAATGAATGAAATGAAAGACTATTCATTGATAGACTACAATGAATAGCCTAACAATTCATAGTCTAACAATGAATTTCATGAGAATGAATTGTAGTCATTATGAATTTGTTATCATTTAATCACAAAACAGCTCAAATAATCCTCTATTAAAATAATTATGATGTCACAAGGTATTAGTTGTCTTTAATATCTTTTCCTTGGCTAACAACACATTCTTTTAGTGAAGACCAAACAAGTACACCTCAGTGATGTATGTTCTTCCCCTTCCTAGGGCGCCCCAGGAAACCCAGGACACCCAGGCCCTCCAGGACCACCTGGGGCCCCTGGTCCATGCTGTGGTGGTGTTGGGGCTGCTGCCATCGCTGGCATTGGAGGTGAAAAAGCTGGCTCATATTATGGAGATGACCCACTGGATCTCAAAATCAACACCGAAGAGATTATGACTTCACTCAAATCAGTCAGTGGACAAGTCGAAAGCCTCATCAGCCCTGATGGGTCTCGTAAAAACCCTGCTCGGAATTGCCGAGACCTGAAATTCTGTCATCCTGAACTCAAGAGTGGTATGTTGGTGAATATTTCAGACTTGTGGCCACAGAACTACAGAGAAAGATGCTTATATCAGTATTTAGGAAAAAGGAAAATATTACTATGAGTAGAAAATATTTTATAGCAGAAATAGTACCTAAAGAATGTTAGTTGTATGGAAATCACTTGACACATGAGAAGAAAACATGAACTTTGTAGGTGTTCTTAAAATGTAACATGAATAACTTGAAAATATTCTAAATGTTTCTACATTTAAAGACAGTTTTGTAGAAACTTTAATGAAACTCATAGTTTGGTGTATTTCTGTGTATCATCACAAATTTATTTGAGTGAGAAAGCAATGTTTATCACTGTGTTCTTAGGAACAAAAGTATGTAATTTTATGCAAACAAAGTTTGCAATTTATTGAAATATTCATTTATTACAATTTAATTTGTGTAATGAATCAAATTATTAAATTTTTCAAATTAAAAATGATTAAATAAAAATTTCAGAATATTATATGGGACTAAATCTAACATTATAAGAGTGTAGGGTTTTGCATATATGGGTTAATTCTTTCTAAAAGGCAAAATTATTTCAAGTTCTTAAATATGTTGACATGGAACATTGCCTTGGAGTCATTTCTAAAAATTACTTAAAAAGAAGAACAATCATCAATTATGGAGACTTTAAATTTAGACTTCTTGACATAAACCTACATTAGACAAAGAGTTTACATTAAGAAAAACCACATTAGATAGGTAGTCATCTTTTAAAAAAGAGAGAGATTTCAGTAAATACAATACATAATTAAAAGTTTTTGGCTTAATATATCTTCATTGTTCAATATCAAGATGCTATTTTGTACCTCAGTGCTTTCTAATTGTTGTATCTAACTGTTTTACCTCAATAATTTCAATCTAAAAGTTTCTCTGTTACACTATACTATAATATACAAATACACTAGTAGTCAACATTATGAATGTTTTACCAGGCAAACAAAATCATTCTGGTCCAGATTTCATTACAGGATTTTATAACCAATTTCCATTGTCTTTTTTTTGTGATCATTCAGGAGAATATTGGGTTGATCCTAACCAAGGTTGCAAGTTGGATGCTATTAAAGTGTTCTGTAATATGGAAACTGGGGAAACATGCATAAATGCCAGTCCTTTGAGTGTTCCGCGTAAGAACTGGTGGACAGATTCTGGTGCTGAGAAGAAACATGTTTGGTTTGGTGAAACCATGGATGGTGGTTTTCAGGTAAGAAAGAGTATACCAATTTTTTTTTAACTGAATCACCCTTATCTCGTGACTTTCTTGGTTTCAGCTATCTGTTCATCACACAGCAAAGTTAGTTAATCAATAAAGAGCCCAAATAATTTTATATATGCAGATGACTACTTATAACTTTCATAACTTGTCTCTCAAGAGCTAAGTTAGACTGAATTATTCATGTGACCACCTTTATTTCAAGTCTCAAAGACCTTTTACTCTAACATTTTATGTTATATGTGCAATAAAAACATGTTCATACAGTGACAGATGGTTAATTAACTTACCTTGGTGATCACATTGTGAGGTATACAAAAGTAGAATCCCTATTTATACATCTGAAATTAATATAATATTATGTGTCAACCATAAAAAAACTTTGCATATAAAATATTCCTATATAAAATATATGAACAACCTACATTACAATGACCAGACTATTCTGCACGAATCCCTTACATAGAGTTATAACTAATGCTTGATCAGTTTTATTTGTTTCCTATTACAGTTTAGCTATGGCAATCCTGAACTTCCTGAAGATATCCTTGATGTCCAGCTGGCATTCCTCCGACTTCTCTCCAGTCGGGCCTCCCAGAACATCACATATCACTGCAAGAATAGCATTGCGTACATGGACCATGCCAGTGGGAATGTGAAGAAAGCCCTGAGGCTGATGGGGTCGAATGAAGGTGAATTCAAGGCTGAAGGAAATAGCAAATTTACATACACAGTTCTGGAGGACGGTTGCACTGTAAGTAACAACATTTTTATAAGCATGGATCATAATGAGCTCAGCATGTCTGGTTTAATCACACTGTTTAGAAAAGAAAAAATAAAAATAATGTGGGTGAACAAATGAAAGCATTTGGTGCGAGTTATATAAAATCTACTGATTCATTGCAGGAAATGTTAAATATCACAAAAATAAATAAATTTTGTCAGCCAGGAGATAAAAAGCAGTTAAAGTGAAAACAATTGAAATTTAAATCCATAATATAAATGTTATCAGATAATTCGCATGGTTACTATACAGTCTACATAATAGCCATCGTAGGGACACAATCTAAAAATCTCTGCCTTCTTTTTTAACTTTTAAGGTTAACTTTAAATGCACTCTGTGTTATTATCATTTATGACAGAAGGGGAATTCACTTCTAATATTAACAAATTCTGTAGTGAAGGATCTTCCACTTCTTGGTAAATGAGCTATGTACTGTTAGCAATGGCCAGAACTAAGGCCTCTGAGAGTGCATTGGCCTATGATAATCTCCCTGCTGAGATTACCCTGAAGACCTACAAGGCTTTTCATAAACAATATGGACTATCCACAGGGAGGATGTAGTTTTGAAATGGAATGGACCTCATGTGTATGGAAGATAGCATGGCAAAGTTGGTAACTTCCTTCAAGCAAGTTAAAAATAAAAAATGTGGTCCATCACAGCAATGTCTAAGCACAGTCATGTATCACATAATGACATTTGGGTCAATTATGGACCACATATATGACAGTGTTCCATAAGATTATAATGGTGCCAAAAACTTCTATCACCTACTGACATGGTAGCCATCATAAGGTCAAAGCACAAGGCATTACTCACATGTTTGTGGTGATGCTGGTATAAACAAACCTACTGCACTGCCAGTTCTAGAAAAGTATAGTACATACAATAATGTAGAGTCAGTACTTACTACTTGACAATGATAGTAAATGACTGTGTTACTGGTTTATATATTTACTCTACCTTACTTTTTATTGTTATTTTGGAGTGTACTCTTTCTACTTACAAAAAAAATTGCCATTAAGACAGTATGCTGTTTATGCTGGCAGCAACCTCATACATCTCTTGTTTACCACATCTGTTGGTTGTATGGTTTTCCCTTGTACTTGATTTAATTTCATGTTGTTTTGTACAGTAGCATGTTGTACAGGCTTGTAGCCTAGGAGCAATAGACCATACCATGTATCCTCGCTGTGCAGTAGGCTATTCCATCTCAGTTGGTGTAAGTGAATACTATGATGTTCACACAATGAAATCATTGGACGCACTTCTTAGAAGGGAGTAAAGCAGCATATGAATGTAATTGTAATGTCATGATCACTTACATAATTTTGCTCTTTTTCACAGAAACACACTGGGGAATGGGGCAAAACAGTCTTTGAATATCGAACACGCAAGGCTGTGAGACTACCTATTGTAGATATCGCGCCATATGATGTTGGTGGTCCTGATCAAGAATTCGGCGTGGACATTGGCCCTGTCTGCTTTTTATAAACCAAACTCTATCTAAAATCCCAGCAAAAAATTTCACACTCCATATGTGTTCCTCTTGTTCTAATCTTGTCAACCAGTACAAGTGACCAACTAAATTCCAGTTATTTATTTCCAAAATTTTTGGAAAAAGTGTAATTTGACAAAAAGGATACTTTTTTTATTTTTGCTGTTACACCAAATACAGTTCAAATGCTTTTTGTTCTATTTTTTTAAAAATTTCAATTTCAAAATGTCTCAATGGTGCTATAATAAATAAACTTCAACACTCTTATGATTATACTGAGTTACATTCTTTGAATCCCAGCCCATTTGCAGAGCGATGACTATGCTTACCATTAAAAGACAACCTTTCTTTCTGAAACAGTCAAACATGAGATTTGAAAAGACCTCCCTGTTTCAACTACCTCAACCTGGTCAGAAACACAGATGAATTCTCTAAGTTTCAGAAGATGAAAAAATTGTACAAATTGGTAAAACTTAAGAATTTCATCAATTTATTTCCTAAAATATTTGTTTTAAAAAAGTAGAGTGTAGTGAAAGAATTTAAAGAAATAGTTTAAAATCACAATTATTTTAACCTTGGATATCAACTGCTTTTAAAGGTGCTTTTCTCTTTTCTTGTCATTGCTAAAATTGTCAAGATTACCAATATTTGGGAAGACTTTAAAGACATATCTTATGGTGCTAATGTACTTTCACTTTTAAAACTCTAGGTCAGAATTGTTGCCTTTCATTCAAAACACCAAATGCACACCGTCTGTACATGTCTCCTCTCAAAAAGATTTACTGGCATGTCACTTCAGAGGACTCTGTCCTTCATCATGTAAAAGTCAACAACAACAACAAAAAAACAAATTATGGGGCTGATTTGTCACAATAACACAGGGAATGTATTGAAATTTAACTTTGTAAGCTTGTATGTGGTTGTTGATCTTTTTTTTCCTTACAGACACCCATAATAAAATGTCATGATGAAACATTTCTGGCTTTTGTCACTTTTCATAAATATAACAAATGTATGCTTGTACTCAGGATTTCTAGTGATGTTCTGCAAAAAGGAATATTAAACTCTAACTCTCTGACTTAATAAGGCAATAGCTTTCAGAAACACGGTATTAGTTAATATAACCTATGTTCAGTGCAGAGATAATGCCCAGTGGGGAATATTGCAGATATTTAGATTATATTTAGTAGAACCCCTGAGGCATATTGAAAATGGAATTGGCTCATTCTGTTTGAGTCAATCCCTGGAAATAGTAACATCATAAATCAGATTGCATCCAGTGTGGACGTAATCAGGGAGGAAGATGCTGGTAATTTATAAGGATGTAAGGAGAATTGGAAAAACAGACATTAAGAATAATTGCAAGTTTAGGCTTTTTGTATCACCTTTGCATACTGCCTCTTTGCCCTCTTTAGCCAGCCCCTTCTCTACCACTGAGTTCTTATTTTTTTAGTTACTATAAAGAAAAATAGTATTACCTTGCACATTTGGCTTTATAGTTTGAAATTTGCTCACTGTGTATGGGTTATAAAAATTACACTTTCAAAAATAAAAATTTTATCATTCAAATGTCAAAACTCTTAGTTCAGTTATCCTCCATGTTAGAGGCAACAAATGCTACAGTTTCTTCTGCATCTTCCCAGACAATATTATATGTTATATACATTTTTGAGAGACATGCAGACAGAGACAGAGAGACAGAAAGCCAATTTGCATGACAAGTTATAAAATTAAATTACTTGAAGTTTTAATTTTAGATATTTTCCAAGCAAGATGTATTTGGTCAAGGCTTTTTCACATTGCGTCACACTGACATGGGCTCTCCCTCCTCCATCTCCCACTCGTACAGACCTCTGTAATCGTATTGGGCCCACCTGAATAATTCAGGATAATCTTCCCATCTCAAGGTTCATTGATTAGCAACCTTAAGTCTATTTACAACCTTAACTCTTCCTTACCTTGCCATGTAACCTAGCATATTCATAGGTTCCAGTGCTTAAGATGTGAACATATTTACAGGTTATTATTCTGTGTACCTACTCAAAGAAGGAAGAAGAATAGAAAATTCATGTGGGTGGTGGTCAACTGTAGTCAGCACAGCAAAAGATATATATTTCTAAAGAAGCTTAGCCAATTGTGCCCAGAATGGCATCTAGTGTCCAGATTTATGATGATGTTACCAGGCTGTCTCTGGGGTCTGATTTTGAAGATGGCTCTGAGTATCCACATTCTTTTCATTTCTATTCATTTTATGAATCTGAGTACTTTAGTTTTCTCCAAATTTCCTGAACTTCACATAACATCTACAAATTACATTTCTATTTAAATTAACCAAAGTCGTTTTAGATTATTTTCAACTAAGAACCCTGACTAGGCCAACAATTATTAGTAACAGTGATTGTAGTGAGCAAGAACTCAGAAAAATAGAAAAACTATTGTGCTAAATATCTGTGCTGGTTGGGGTAAAGGCAGGAAAACCCAATTTATATGCAGGGATGAGAATTTGGCAGCACATGGCAATAGGATTCATCATTTGTGATCACCCAGATTGTTTGCACATTAAAATCAAAGCTTAAGACCATGAATGGTTTCTGCTACCCAACAGGATATTTAAATTTTATGAGAAATTGTAGAGCTATGTGTGGGTTTAGCTGCCTTTCCTGGTTATGCACATGAAGAGAAAGATGTGTTTAAGTCCCTGACTTCTTGGCTCAAGGGGCAGAAGGAAAACAATGACTTTTCTCTCACAAGGGTAATTAAAAACATAAATATACTTAAAATTTTTCAAACTCATCTCTTTATACAAGTTTGAGATAACTGAAAAGCAAGTATAAATTTAATTCTGCAGATTACTAAACTTCAACATACCTCTAAATAAATTTTTCAATGATCTTCTTGACTGCTATGCAATTGAAAAATAACTCTACCCCAGAAATTTGAGTGGGGTTTATAGAAAAATTTTCTCCAAACATTCCTACTTCACATTAAAATTCTCTAGCTCTTTAAAATATGACCCCTTATTTCCTGCCTGGTAGTATTTCTGTCTTTTTGAGATGCAAAATGACTCCAAGAAAAAAACAGTTCTCCTCATACTTCACTCCCATCGTTGTTTACTGTTCCCAGATTTATAACTAGAATCAGATCCCCGAATGTTTCATGGGGGTAACAATTTAAAGGTCAATCTCAGGCTAACACATAAAAAGATGGAAGGATTCAATTGATTTACATTTTCTAAAACCTGGGAAATATTTGTGGAAGCAGGTTCTGAGGTGCTAGACAAATGAGAATTATGCAATTCAGATTACACAAATTTATCAACTTGTGCATGTATCAGAGAATTCTAGGAAGATTGTACTTATTACAGTTGGTTGAGACCCAAGTCTCAGAGGCAGCCCAAATTAAATGAATTTGAGTCATCAAAAACTTCCTGATGGGCAGAGAATATAATTTAAAAGCTTAAGAAGATAGACATGTTGGAGTGGTTTATCATATATGACACACTATTCATCTTCTAACTATTGTATATTCTCAAGGCTGAATCACTGAGGCCTCAAAAATATACAGTGAAATAAGAGCCGGCACCTTTGAAAACCCCCTTTTAGTGTGTCTCCACTCTGAAGATGGAAGTGGGCCCAGCTGAAATAAGCTTCTTGGTCACAGTAGAGATGACAGGATTCCAGTGAGCAAAGGCCAAAGGGCATCTCTAAACTACCAGAAACAAAGTGAGAATAACTGTAAGAGACACAAAACAAAACAAAATAAAACAAAACAAAACAAAAAACAGAAAACAAACATAAAATCCCCTACCAAAAAAATAAATAAATAAAAACACCTAATTTGGAAATACTTTTGGTGGTAGTGACTAATTGATAATGCACCTAATAAGATGGGCCATATTAGATGGGCTGCCTGTGACAGTTTGTGTGTGTGTGTGTATGTGTATACACACACCTATATATAAGTACAACTTAGTATACAAACACACACATACACACACACACTAAGCAATCTCACAAGCAATGAGAATTTCACTCCAGATCCAGGACTTTGAATGAAGGAGTCCAGGACTTTGGAGAAAATTCCCTGTAATAACAACACAAGTAATGAACAGGTAACACGTGCCAAGCATTGTCCTAGTCACTTTAAACATATTGATATATTACTCACTCCAATCCTATGAGGTACTATCATCTTTAGTCAAGAAAAAAAAGTTAAAAAGTTTAGGTAAATTGCCCAAGGACATCTAGCTAGTAAGAATGAGGGCTAAGATTATAGCCCAAACAATCCTACTTTAGAGCTAAAAGGCTATATTATAACAGTGAATAGCCAAAATCTTATACTGTTTCTTCAAAAGAAACCCAAATTACCAATGTTGGTACACTAGGGAGAGAGAAAATGCATTCCTTGTGGACAATTATTGAAGAATAATTATAAATTATCACAATTCCTAGAGATTAAGAATATCAATCTAAACTTGAGCTAGGATTTCAATTATTCACTTCTAGGATAATCATAGCTAATTCATGTCCTATAATTCATATAAGTATGCATTTATTTAGTAAGCCGCTTAGTCATAAGGAATTGATTGAGCATCTAATGTATAGTGAGAACCAAGAAAATATCTTATTTTTAGTGAATTTCCTCCCATTGGCAGGCCACTTCTTCTCTATGTCTGTCATTGTTTTCTGTCCAGTCACTAGAGTGCCATTAGTGACTCTGATGTCTCTCCTTGACATTCTCATCTATCTCCTCAACTTTAGTCATCACTTTAATTGAAGATAACTCATAAAATTACATCTGCCTTTCATGAAACTAAAAACATATATCCTATGACTTAATTGAGACCTCTACTAAGGTTTTCAAATACCGTCATTTGTACCATAATGATTACCATGTACATGACAGTGGATCCATAAGATTATAGTGCAGCTGAAAAATTCCTATTGCCTACTGATACCATTGCTGAGTTGGTGGTTAGATTCAAATCTGGGGTTCAGAGGGGATGTCCAAGTCAGAGGAATATATTTAGAAGTTTCAGCACATGTATAGCTTTAACATTCATGGGAGTAGATGGGATCATCAAGTAATTGAGTATTGAGGGAAAGGAGAAAATGAATAAGGACTGAACTCTCAGGGTATTTCATAATGAAATATTCATATTGGTGAAATAAGGAGGAAGAAGCTAAGGCAATGGAGAAGGAACAAAAGAAAACAAAGAAGGTGCAATGACCTAGATGCCAAGTAAAAAAATGTTTGTTGTTTAAATTTTACAATTGTAGATTACTAGGGGGATAAATAAGCTTCCAGTTGATATATTCCAAGGGCACTAATTATACATTTTAAAAATGGAGGTCAAGTAATATTCTATGAGTCTTCCTTTGTCTTGCCAAATAGTGATGTAAAGCAGTTCTCCAATTCATAGTCATATCATCACATCATTATCTCTCTTGATGGAGAATTAAATATAATACTTTTTACCTTCAGATTGAACAAAAATTATTTCACTTTTTTGTTTGAAATAACATTTATTTTATAATCTAAATTATATTTGGAAAATTTAGATAAGAAGGATAATTGATTATTCATGTTCCACATCAATAGATATTTCCTTAAAGTCCTTTACATATATTCTAACATAATTTGAACAACACTACAAATACAGTTTTGTGTGCTGCTCATTGCATTTAACACGATACTACTTTACCTATAAGAAGTATTTTTTGATTTTGGAAATAATAAGGAAAAATATAAAGGAAACTCTTTTTAAGTAATGGCTTCAAAATTAGAAATATCAAGAAAACTAACTTACTTTTACCTAGTATATATTAAAATTTTACTTGTCTGAGTTCTATCATAGAGGAATGCACTTATTTTTAAAAGTGCATCATGAACTGTGAAAAATATTTCCCTTTTAGACATAACTCTCCATTGAGTCATGACTCACAAAATGAATGATGCAATATTGGTAAAAACAT